TTTTTATCTAAAATTAATATTTTTTATTATATGCATATACACTCGTATTAATTTTTTACGAGCTTTTAATATTAAGTTTATAAAATTTGAATTTGATTCATTTATGTAATTAAAGCTAAAATTAAATTTAAACTTATTTATTTAATAAAACAAAAAAAAATATTTAATTAGTCAATTCTAGTAATTTACTAATAACAGAACTCATTTCGATCCTTAGGTGAGCACCAGAACATAAAACACCCAAAGCAAAAGGTTACTATCTTCTGATTGAGAATGACAAAGATAGATAACGACAAATTAAATGTGATTTCATATGTGGCCCCATGGAAACGCAGTAGGATGGGAACAAAACAACGCCAACGAGGTTGCTTTTAAAATTAAATTACTTATCTTGTTTGTACATAAATGCCTAAATAATCATGAAATCCTCCTGATATATTTTTAATCCAAAACAGTTAAAACTCTGATCAAATCTTAATCAAATATTATTTTCTTTGAAATAAGTAATTCAATAAACATATAATTCCAGAAAAAAAACATAAAATAAAATCCCTATATGGAAATATTTTGTCAAAGTCTAATAAATATTAGTTTTAAGCAAATAAACTAATAAATGAAAAATTGAAAAAAAAAATATCTTAAATAAAATAAAATTCCTGACTAATGCAACTATCTTAAAATTTATCCCAAAAAACAAAATTGGGTGATTTTAACCCGTTACACACACATGTATATAAACGAAAAGAATTCCTTATAATAAAAATAATAAAATTCATAAATAACATAATAATCTCAATTAGCATGTTTATTTCAAATCTTCATATTTGATATTCCGAAACTTAACCCTTCTATATAACTAAGCAATTACAGAGGAAGAGGTGAATTTTTTAAAAAAAAGAGAAGAGGGGAATAATTTTTGCATATTGTTTTCACATTTTCTTATATTTGTAAAGAAAATTATTCTAGTGCTTGAAAAATAAAGTGACACACGGATAGTACAATAGAAATGGTGTATAAATATCATTGTTCAAAGGAAATCATACATTAATATATGAGGAGAATCACTTAATATTATTGCACAACACATGTTGACATGGGTTTAACTTAGGTAAAACGTAAGAATTTAAACATTATGCATAATTTAGTCATAAAATTTTAAATGTAGAAAACAAAAACTATAAAATGTTTTATAAAATATATTTCGAAACAAATTATAACAATACAAAAACATTATTGTGTTATACAAAATTGATTAATTTAAATTTATAAATCTAATGATTTATCGTCTTCATAAAAATTGTTTTCAAAATTAATATGATATCATGTAAGTCAATCTAAAAAGTAACTCAAACTCGACTCCAAAATACTCCAGGTCTAACTTTTAAAACCCAAACCTAGCCCAACAACTTTGAGCCTAAGAGGATTACTAGATCCAATAAGCTATTAATACATATTATCTAGGGAGTGCTATCTAATGTGTTCAGCTAATTATTATCAAAATATTTGTTATTTACAAACATGCAATTACACATTAATTTCCCGGCTTGACTCTAGGATTTAACATAGCCAAAGGGAAATTAATTCGATTCTCGAGAGTCGTAATTCCTGAAAAGAATGGAAAGACTTAAACCCAAAACCGAATTAATGGGATCCATTAGGATTTCAGCTACCAGTTGATAATTATATATTATTTTCCTTATTTGAAAGAGTATGAATAGCAATTTGCTAATTCTATATAGCCACAAGAAGGATTTCATTTGAGCTCAAATTAAATTCCATATATGTGTAATATACGAGATGTATAAAGTAAATGATCTATGCTGGAAAAACAGAACAACTAAGGACTGAGAAGAGAACTATCTCGCCAGACTTTGAACTATTGTGGATTAAGAGCTAGCTGTGTATCCCTCATGGGATATAGTATCTCAATACGTGGATGCTCAAAGAAGCAACGATATAAACCAAATCTCAAGAAGAGTCACCGATAGTGCAGTCGCACGAGAGGATGCGAAAGGGGGATGTGTGTAAGGCAATGGTGGCTCTAAAATCCAGTAGAATAACAACTCACAAAAATGCAAGATATCAAGTGCCTCCTCTATTGGAGAGAAAGAGTTTATATAGATGGGAAAATATTCTCTAGTAATGAGAGAGAAAGAGGATGAGCCAAAACCATTAGTCAATGTCTTCACTATTATAGTAAGATTGCCTCACCATCGTTGGTGTACGATAATGAGCTGCGCACGGAGAAGGGAATTCCCTGCAACAAGGACCATGTATTCACCTATGGAATGCTAATTAATTAAGCCTTTAGACTATTCTCTAGCGAGCCCGTTTAACATGCTCTCGAAGCTTCTGCCCGTATTCTAAAAGTAGGAAAAAAATTGGATTGAGATGGAATTTAGAAAAAAGAAAATTATATAAATGGAAGAAAACTTTCCTTTTTTAGTAAAGGACCATGGAATAGTATTATGATCCTGGAACACATTAGAAAAATCTCCGGTTAGCATACTGAACCTATGTGGGTCGGCCAGAAAATACTCATTCACAACTTAGAAGGTGCCAGTTTCAACCCTTCCAATACCACCAATTTTATACTAATCTTATCAAAGGCCTTTTGGACTCATTGACTAGGCGCCTCAAGGAGCAAAATATTTTCAGAAATTTCTTAGTATTCAAGATTCAATACATCACATCAGCTATTAAATTGGAAAAGAGCAGCTCAACTAGTTTTATCTATTCCACCTATCCCTTTATGGTTAATCTCACAATATAAGTTTTATTTTTTCCTATTTTTATTGAAGGGAACCTAGTCCGGTTAACACCGAAGACATGCTCCTCAAGGAGGGTGGGACCCTGGTATCAGTCAAGGATGGTGGATCCTACAGTCATAATATTGTCACCATTGGGACAGAAGGAATCTTTTCAAGGTTGTAACCAACGTTCTCCGGATAGGATCAAACTTCCTTGACAATTTCATCATACCTAGCCTTGGAGTACTTTGGCGTTGCTGCATCCATCTGTTAAAAAACATTAACCACATATAAACTTTTGAAACAACAAAGTTAATAACAAAGTCAAACGAGAATAACAAAAAACCAATAATACCTTGCTGCAACCTATCTGCACCGATACGACACGCGACACGTGACACGACACGACACTCCGACACGTCAATTCTAAAAAATTATGGATTTCGACACGTTGGGACACGTTTTAATATTAAATAATATTTTTAATTTATATAGTGTATATTTCATTTAATATTTAATAATTTAACAAAAAAATGAAACTAAATTAATAATACTCATCAACACGTTATAAAGATGGAAGCTTTAATAAAAAAAATAAGAACTGGGGTGAGAGAGGGATATAATATCAGATAGAGAGATCAAATCATATTAGAGAGAGATCAGAGAGAAGAAGATACAACAAGAGCGTGATAGGAATTGACAACAATGATGTTGAGATGATCTCTTATCTACTTAAGGGGAAAAAAGACAAAAAGATAAAATTGATATGATCAGATGGAAGCTTTATTAATATATTTTAACTTTTAAAAAAAAATTAAAAAAAAAAAAATTTACGAAAATGCCATTTGACCGTGTCGGACACGGTCAAATTCGCGTGTCGGAATGGTCAACGTGTCGGAAAAAGTCAACCGCGTGTCCGACACCGTGTCGAAGCGTGTCGGAGCGTGTCGCCGTGTCGGAGCGTGTCGAACCCGACTCTTCCTGTTTTTACAAGTGTTCGTGCTTCCTTGGCTGCAACAACATGCATACTTGAAAGAAATCTTGCTCATCTCGGCAACCTTTTATCCGGTGGCGGATCCGAGTTAAATTTTAACAAATTATATTTTTATATATAAGGTTTTAATGTTTCTAAAGTGAATGTAAATAAATTATCTATATTTGTTCTTAAAATAATGTCGTTTTTAGTTGAAAAAATAAAAAATTATAATAAAAAAGACTATTATAACCCTGAAACAAATTATAATTACAAAAATACCTTGATTTCCATCTCAAAACGTCGTCGTTTTGGACTCAATGTAGATAAGTTATCTACATTGACGGTAGAAAAAGCGAACCCTATATATAATTATATAATTAATTATAATTTAGTCCAGATTAAAATTATAATTTAGCCCGAGCTACAATTTGTAAGTTGGCTCTATGTAAAACTTTAATATTTTTGGTGAAAAATTTGAGTAAGTTATATTTGGTTATGTGCCTAATTTTCACTTGTATAAAATAAATAAATTATTTTTACTAAAATTAAAAAATATTTAATAAAATTATAACTCTTCTTAGTGCTACTTGCTCAGGTGTTCTGTATTTAATATAATTTAAATATATTATGATATAAACTAACTAAAATTTAAAAAAAAAATACAAATGTAATTTTTTGACCTGGACTCAAATTGAAGTCCGGCTCTGTGCCACTGCTCTTATGGTGCCACACCTAGATAAAGAAATTTCAAGTCAAAGAACACTAACAAATAAGTCAAATATTACAATGGCTTGGCTATTTAAAATGTCAATTTTTTTTAATAATGTGTCATAGGTGATAATATAAAAAAAAAATTATACTTAAATTCATTAAATTTAAACTCTCGTAAACCTGAATACTACTAACAAATAAGCATAATTGCCGTATGTAACCAGTTTTGTTATATCACGTGAGAACCATTATTCATTTTTTTGAGTATTTCTATTTAAAAATCAAATCCATTTATGTACCAAAAAATAAAATAAAATTCATTTGAAGCTTTATTCTAACAATGCCTTGCACGACAATTTATCATGCTATTTTATTTCGTTTATTTAAGGCGTATAAGATCCTCATCAAATAACAATCTTATCTTACCTGGGCTCTGTTTTATCTGTATCAAATGAAAGTAGTTCATTTATATTAGCATAAATAATCAAGATTGTTTATATTGGTAAACGATTCTACTCGTTATCTTGAATGAAGTTAACTACAATATTCTAAACATCAAGGTATTAGTTTGTATAGCACGACCAAGAAGTTATAGGCCCCGTTTAAGTCACAACTAGTAATATCACAAAAAAGCATTTGACAAAGTTTGTCTCTAGTCATTACAATGGAATATCAAGATAAATGTTGAAGGCAGTGCTTTTAAGTTTTAGCATCCCAGGCCTGGCTTGCATTGTTTGACATGCTCGCAACCATCTTGGGCACTGGCAATTATGGCATTTTCTTGAGGCCCTCAAACTGCTGGAAACAGGTACTTCAATTCAATCTTTCACACGCTCTGGATGGAAAATGATCAACCACGTAAGACTCATTTGCAACAGGAGTGGGGATCTTATTTTCACATGCACGCTTGGTCAAGGTAATAGGTATGCAGATTTTCTTGCCTGGTGTGAAGCAGGGATCTAAGCTAATGCTTTGGACTCACCCTCCAACTGAGTTAGCACAAGAGCTTCTTGCCGATAGGATGAGTGTCTAAGCAAGGTCTAAAAGTTCAGCAAGGCTTAAGGATAAGAAAGTTTTCTTCAAACTGCATTGCATAAAGCAGAATGAAAACAACAAAATCAGTAAATGAACTTTTACTAGCTGTACATTTCAGGCACCATTCTTCATTGCAGCATATTTTGTACCTGGCCAAGAACCTTCCTACAAAACCCTTGCGTTCTTCAAGAATACAGTTTCCATCCTGAACAAGAACTAGAAGGCAGCAACATTTCAAGTAATATGGAAGGATTTGCTATCAAGGATAATAACCAATCTGATCAGACATGGCAGAGAATATAAGGCTGAGACATCTTATACAACCCTGCATCACCATTCTTCCAGAATTGTGCTTCCACCAAAAGCATATTGCAATTGTCAATCCTGATCAAGAAACGTTAACTTCTCCAGCAATTTTGGAGGATTTGTTTTCAAGCAATAATGAATCTGATTATCCAGGTTCATTAAGACGAGCTCAAACATAAAGTATTCAGGTTCAGAAGCAGAAGCATCTTTGAAGCTGAAATGACGGATCCATGCTAAATTCTTGACATCAAAGTTTTGATACCTTCAAGTCAACTAAATTCCTCACAACGGTCTCTGAATCTGTATGCCTTTGGGGGAGATAGATGAATGTCATGTTCAGGAGGACAGCTCACAGGTAATTAACCAACTTAAACTCAAGTTTTCTTTGGATCCTAGGTTCTGATAATTCTGCAGTTTATGGGGACTTTGTGCTATATAGATTCAGAACTTTACCAAGTGTTTTCAGGTCAGGTTAAGGCTGGACCTGACATATAAATGTTCCATTGTCAATTATCTGAGACATTACATATATCACTTCTGATAAAGCAATACCATGAAAGGAAAATAATTTTCATTATTGATATTTAATGTTAACAAGATGGTATAAAGTGTTTAGGAATTGAAAATACTACATGAAGTACTAATCCCGCTGTTAGTCGCAGACAGCCCTTGGTTAGGATGTGCACCTGCTATACATGCAATATCAAAAGACAATATGAAACTTGGCACATAGCATGCAAAATTTTAAATATAACTCTTGGTTTACAGACTATAGAGACAACTAACTATAATGATAAAAGAATGGAAGATTGCAGTACCTCAATCAATTCTGCTAACTGAATTCCCATAGTCATCTTCAAGCACATAAAGAAGCTTCCTGTAAGCATGCCCATCTACAAGGTCCTTCTCTTGCAACTCCTGCAAAAACCTCATGGCCTCCTGAACTCTTCTTTCTCTACATATCTCATCCAGTATAGTCCTATACGTAATAAAATCAACTGACCTCTGCTTTTCAGTCATCTCCCACAGATAATTTACTGCCAACTCAACCTCTCCACCAAGCGCCAAAGAACTGACAAGTGAATTATAAGATTTACTACTTGGGATGAAACCTTTGGTCTTCATTTCATGACATAATTCTTTGGCATTATTTGTTCTGCCTTGGGCACACAACCCGTGAATCAAGTAATCATAGGTTAAAGAGTTGGGCTGGCAATCATAAACCACACCCATCTGATGAAATATCCTCAATGCATCATTAACATGAAGAGAAAGCACATAACCTTTAATCATAGAATTTAACGTAAATATATCAGGTTTTATCCCATCGTTGACCATTTGCCTGAACAGACATCTAATCGTCTCCATGTACACATGGTTAATATAGGTGTTGCTTCCCCTACTCAAAAGTGCAGCAAAAAGAATATTATAGGTTCTAATAGAAGGCCTGAAACTGCAATTCAAATTTCTAATACTTTTCATGTGCTTAAATATGCTGACGGCTCTACTCAGCTTCCGGGCCTCAGTGAAATAATATATAATCATGTTGAACAATGCCTCTGAACCAAGAAAAGGAACTGCAAGCAACTGGTTCACAATGTCATCCATTTCTTGGTACATTTTTGCAGCACCAAGCTTCTTTATGGTGACATGAAATGTAGACACATCATGCCGAAATCTGGGCTGCTGAGACGCCCAATGAAACAGTTCTAAGCAAACTAAAGGGTCATCTTGAAGAGCAATCAAATTGCAGAGTTCTTCAGTACTGAACCTTGGGGGAAGCTGGGACAGTGCCAACTGAAATTGGGCTTGATCTAAAGTAGGCTTGCAGGATTTTAATAACCGATTACGAACTCTTCTTCTATAAGATCTTGAACAAGCCTTAGTTGAATAATGAGAATTAAAGCAAATGGGTGCAAATAGGACAAGAAATTGAGTATAACTAGCTCTCATTTGGGGAAAAAAGGGGTTAACTTTCTGGGTATGATGAAGGAAATGCATCATCTTCTGTGAGTTTTTTCCAATGGGATCACTGAGTGCAAATGGCTCAGGAAATTTCTGACCATTTCTCCCGAAGTAGCTACAACATTTCAACCAATTTCTACCAAAAGATAACATCTTTGGTTTGTTTCAACACCCAAACAAAGTGTGGTTGTGCAGTGCTTACTCAACCACAACCTCAGATCCTCGTGAGCTCAATGAAACCTATCCTTCTCAGTAACAAACCTATGTCAAATTAATCTTAACCAAATCAAATTTTAACATTAAATAAAAAAAATGCAAAGTTTCGATTATAAGGCATTTTGAATACAAAATAAACTAATCAAAACACACACACTAAAATTAAAGAGTATATAAAGCTTAATGAATTATTAACAGACCTCCAAAGTAGAATCATCATCGCCTTGGTTCGTCGCCGCACAGACCACAGTGGTTGTTTGGCTCGCTATCCCTCCGATAATTTTTGTTCTTATTTGTCAAGATTTATTTGAATTCATTCCTTCATTCACAATACCTATTTATGTTTTTTGTTTTTTTTTGGTAATTAGCTATTTAAGTTTTTATTTTCGTCGTTTGTTTGTTTCGTAAATTTTTAACAATAATAAAAAAATAAAATCATATTTCTATAATAATAATCTATGATGCACGGACACGGGACACGGGACACGACACGCCGACACGTTAATTCTAAAAAATGTCATATTTTGACACGTTGGGACACGTTTTGATATTAAATAATTTTTTTAATATATATAATATAATTTATATTTAATACATATAAAAGTGTATAATAATTCATATAACTAATCAAATATTTAATTTCATAACATAAATATAAATATAAATAATTTTTCGTACTTTGTTAAATTTCCATGTCAAATTTCGTAACAGAAAAAAATTAATTTATAAATTATTTATTTTATATTTAGTTAAAGTAATAAAATTAAGATTTAAAAATAAAAAAAAATAAAAATAAAAATAAAAAAATAAAAAAAAATGTGTCCGAGCGTTGACCGCGTGTCCGAAAAAGTTGACTGCGTGTCAGAAAAACGTGTCGAAGAGTTGACCGTGTGTCCCCAAATGTTGACCGCGTGTCGGACGCGTGTCCGAACGTGTCCGTAAATTTTCAAAAAGATCACGTGTCCGTGAAGATAATAATGATTAAAAATAGAACAAACGTTGTACAATGACTTCATTTTTCTTTTTCTTTTTCTTTTTTTTTGGTAAGCAATCACTTCATTTTTCTACTGGTATACATAAAGTCATAAATCATTAGTGCACAATAATTTATCTCACTCAGTCAAGCTATCAAACTTTTTACGGCAAAAAAATAAAATATTACACTTTTAATAATTAATTACGAATAGATTGCAGTTTGGAAACTAATTTCGGATCTATGGCAGTCATTCACGTCTAAAATGGGCGGGACAATTCACGCCCATGATAGGCGTGAATTCCACGTCATTCACGCCCAAAATAAGCGTGATTAGTCACGCCCCATGCAGGCGTGAATCACTGGACATTCCAGCCCATTCTAGGCGTGACTTAGGCCCTTTTCAACCCACTTTGGGTGTGAATGGCACCTATTTTTCCTATATAAACACCTCTTATCTCCACATTCATCACAACTCTTCTTCATCTTAACTTCTTCTTCGATACAGTCTCATTTTCTTATGCATACTCTGTTTTGTATTTTTCTCTATTAATATAGTTAAGAATGAGTTTAAATTCTAATTTTGTTCGTATTGTTTTATATTATAATGGTAGGAAAATGGAAGGTTGACGTGGTGTCACTTTTGAAGGCGAGAAAAGGCCAACACGTATCATGCGGAACTCAACAATTAGCGAAGTACATCAAAAAATTCGTCAAAAGTTAGCGCTTGAAGGTAAACAATCTATCAATATGGTCACTGCATGAATATGGTGTGAATCACAATACATTAGTATGCAAGTTGTTGACGATGAAGATGTAAAAATGGTAGTCGGAGAGTTTTTCAACCAGTCAAGGAAAGATTTTTTAGAGTTATACGTGGATATTGTCGAACCAGAGGATGTTGCTATACCCGTGAGGTCAGTTGATTTAAATTTTGCACATAATGCGTCATCGTCTGCTGCTCCAGTTGGTAATCTGTCTGAGGAAGGAGAAAATGATCCTACCTGGGTTATGGAAGATGGTGGTGAGGATGACGATGATAAAAATATTGCAATGGAAGATCAACTTCTTGCTGAGGATGCTAGCGCTTCAGACAACGATGATGAATGTGGTATTCCTGAAACTCAAATCTTAAAATATAATGTTGTGGGGGAGTCTCATGTCCAGGAACACGATAATGTCGCATCCACTCAGTTACCGCCAATTTTGGAAGGTAAGTAAGTAAATGGCTAAAAATATACATTTATATTTGCAGCTTTTTGGGTTTTAATGTTTAATTTTGTACTTGTAGGTGACGATGTTCTTCCATTTTGGAAAGACATTCCACATTACACATACATTAATTGGAATCATCCGAGGGAATAAGATTTAAGTCACGACGGTTCAAGTTCTGGCTCAGGCTCAGGTTCAATTAATGGTTCGTGGATAATAGGTAACAAGTTGTATGTTAAGCAAGAATTTGAATCAAAAAAGGAGGCGTAGATGGCAATTAAGAGAAACCTAATGAAAGAGCATCAAGAAGCGATCGTCCTTGAGAGCACGCCTACCAAATTAAGTATGAAATGTTGTGCGTATGAACAGGGTTGCCCGTGGAGGGTTAGGGTAATAAAACCAACATACGGTGAAAAATGGAAGGTTACTAAATGGGGTGGAGACCACGATTGCTTGAATGATCATATTTCTCAGGGTCATAGACAGCTTGATGCTTATGTGATTGCTTCACTCGTACTAGGTATGTTATTATATTAGTTTGTCAAGAAAATTGAATTTATAGTTAGGGTTTAAGGTTTAATGTCTAACTACAATATGATTATAGGAATGATACGAGAGGAGCCATCAGTCTCAATTTCACTTGTTCAGGAGAGGATCACCCATGCATATAGTTTCAAAGTTGCTTACAGAAAGTCATGGTATGCAAAACAAAAAACAATGGCGATGATGCCCCATCAGGGGAAGCATGAAGTATCCAGACATATCTATGCGTGGCCTAGGGGCATGTATAGGCTCCGGAAGTGGTGCCACTGGCTCTCGACAACGTCCAAGCCCTCGTCTCTCCTGTCTATGTGTAGGAATATCAAGAGATATCTGAGGCTCATCCTGTGTCTGGGCCGGGGGAGCCTGTGATCCTGGCTCCTCCACCCTGGACGACTCTCCGAATATAGAAATTAAGCGCCCAATCTCCTCATGAACCCATTCTAAACCGAAGGTCTCAAAATGCTTAGGAGTAGTCGCGAAGTATAGCATCACAAGACCATCAATCTACAATAAAAATAAATAAGTGCAAGTAAAGGTTGAAATTTAATAAGACAGTGTCAATAAATGCAAAAAAATAAGAGAGTAAGATCTGTAGAAAATATACACTACGTCCAATCTTCGCTGCCCTCCTGGATACATAACGCTTGCCTCGTAGCCGATACCAATCCATATACTAGTGGTTTGGTGACATCAGCCCTGCCAATGGGGGAGGCAGCTGACCTATGTGTTGAGCCCTTATCTTCCATCTATGTATAAATGGTCTGAGCTTAACTTGCCAGTTATCAGGTCATTTACCTCGAAGCGTGTGATCATGAACCCCTTTGAGCTTTCTAGGCCTCAAAGGGATCGGGTGGTCCAAACCAAACTGTCTCAAGCATCTATCTGGTTGGCACTGCTCAAACGTATGAAAACATATGATCGGTGTCCTAGCCAACCAAAGATATCGCTCATCTGCAGGTATGTCCAAGAAATGATAGTCTCTATATGGCTGCCAAACAACCTACAAAAAATATGATGAATTTCCATAACGTATTAATTTGGCAGCAAGAGAAAATAATAATCATAATTTCTCCAAAAAAATATAACATATTGCGTCCCTAGTCAACGTGTCTAGAGTCCCCCGATATAGAAGCTGATGTTGTGGTTTAAATCGGGCTAAACCATTAAACCTGTTAGGCAAAATGAAAATTTCCAAAGTATTAATAATTTGTTACAGATAAATTATAGTATAATTCTTAAACAGATAACACATATCGGTGCCCGAAGTGCCACTCTGGGTGAGTAGGCTGAGGAAGAGGAGGAGCAATAGGCGGAAATCTGGTCCACACCCATATCTGGAGCAGTATATGACATCCACCCATGTTTGATCTGCGCGGGTTAGTAAGCTCGCATAATTGTCTAAACAAATGTGCGAGAATAGCAGATCCCCAACTGTAATGTCCAATGTCATCAAAACCTCCTGCAAGCAACGCAATGTAGCGACATCCGACGACGCTACCTCCAGATTTGTCGCATAGAAGCCATGATCCCAACATACGCGCAATGTGTGCCTTTGTAAAAAATATAACCTGTTGTGGATCCGCAGCAACTGCAGCCCAATCCGCATAATGTCTGTCTAAATATGCGAGCTTGACATCCCCGTACGGCTGCTCTGAAACGAGCGAGGCGTGACCAAGCACCTCTCCGCACAATGCTCTCCAGTTGGTAGATGTAGCACCCGTAACCACTTTCTCATCAGTCGGCAATCCCAATATAGCCGCAACATCCTGCAACGTAATGGTCATCTCGCCCTGCGTCATGTGGAACGTATGTGTCTCTGGTCTCCACCTCTCCACCAGAGCACTGATCAGCATGGGATCAATCTGAAATATATGCAGACATTTATTATCAAAATAAACTTGCTTAAACATACACTTAGTTTATAACATTTATTATTAAATCAAAACTCACATGACCGGTACTTTCTTATATGCGTACCTGAATATGCCACATGTGGGCGACATGTAGGAAGCCAGCCTGCTGCAGGTAGTTTGCCACGACATCAGGAATAGCATCAGGAGATGGACCCCCCTTGACAACACGGCGTCGAGTCTTGCACTGGCGACACTTCTCCTCGTTCCACACAACCTGTGAAACGTGTGTGCGCTGCGTGCGCCTCCTAAGTACGTCCCACATGTATGGTCCTGGAAGCACATGGGTCCTGGGATCTGAAAGCTCGGCCTGAGTCTCAGTATCGAATGTAGACCGAGGTGACTCCGACGATGACGAGTCAGCCATAATAGTGTACTATACACAATAATAAATTAATTGGTTTCATTAATATATTCAAAAGTCATTACATTAATTACATGTGTTACAAAAATTAACTAATTACATGTGTTACAAAAAATATTAATTTACATGTGTTAAAAAAAATTAATTACTTGTGTTACAAAAAATATTAAATTACATTTGTTACAACAAAATGGCAATTTACATGTGTTAAAAAAAATATTAAATTACATTACCTACAAAAAAGATTTAATTAAATGTGTACAATATTCCTATGTCACTAATATATTCCACAGTCACTATTGTATTTCACAGTCACTATTGTATTCCACAGTCACTGTTATATTTCTAAGTTACTATTATATTCCTAGGGTATAAGACACTACTTTAACATATTCCTAGATCACTATAATAACAGTTATATGCGCAACACCCTAAATTACTATTATAACATGTATCATATTATAAATAACAATTTGATAAAACAGATATAAAGACTTACTTGTTCGACAGGGCTTCGCCGCGCAAAATGCTCCACAAATAATCTAGAGAGAAGGCAGAGCAACTTTAGAGAGAAGTTAGAGAGAAGGTGTGAGATGGAAAAGTGGAAATTTTGGGGGTTTTATAGGACACGAAACTCACGCCTGGATTGGGCGTGAATTGTCACGCCTCCTTTGGGCGTGAATTCTCAGCAATTCTCGCCTCATTTGGGCGTGAATTCTCCCGTCCATTTTGAGCGTGAATGACTGTAATAGATTCGAAATTAGTTTCCAAACTGCAACCTATTCATAATTAATTATTAAAAGTGTAATATTTTAATTTTTTTGCCAACTTTTTACTAGCCTTCTTTATTTTATATAATAAAATAAAGTTTTTTAGTTTAGAAAGTGAGATATTTTTTTATTATATTACTTTTTATTTAAATATGTTTTGTAGTACTTTTTATATTTTTTAAAAATTCCTTAAATTCTTAATTACTTTTTTAAAAATATTTCAATTTTTTTCTTTATAAAATTTTAATTTCTTGTACTGTCAAAATAATTATTTTCATTTTTTCTTAAATCTCATTTTCTTATATTGTTAAATTGATTTCTTTCAATTTTTTACATTAACATTTATTTGTTTTTCTCAAAATCTCAGTTATTGCACTCTTATATATTAAATTAGACCATATAACCTTAAAAGTGACTACGTCTTTTTTTTTAATTTACCTATATTAATTGTGCATATTTTTTCCCCTAATTTTGAACATTTTTTCCTTTTTAATTATACTTTTTTAAATATTATCTAAATTTTAAAATAAGGAATATTTATTGATTCTTTAGAATCTTGTGATAAAAGATTATGAGAATGCTTCAACAAAAAAAAATTCAATGAAGACAAAGTAGTCACCAGGAAAGCGGTGGAATTAGTGAATTTTCCCCTGAAGTTGTTATGAATTGTGATTTACTTGAAAACCCGATGTATTGACATTCCTCTTACTAAAGATCCTTCTTCTATCTTATGTAACTGCATACCTTGGTGACATGAGAATGTTTTATTGGCATTTTTTTGCTTGTATCACAAAAAATATGTTGTTGAGAACAATATTTTGCCTTGCTAAAGTTTTGTATGAATCAAATCATAACACTTGGACACATAAGTAGAAAGAATTGTGCTCTGACTAACTGCTATAACTTTTGACTTAATAAGTGATGATAAATATTTGATCTTACACTTGGTATCAAAGCTGAAGTCATAGATTCAATCTGATTAACTATTATAATTTTTGGCCTAGTTTAAGCATTTCATCCTACAAAATACCTTAAATTTACCCGAAGTCCGAGCTCTCTTAATATGTTATCATTTCAATTACTCTTAGTTAACCCATTTTTAATTGAAAGAATGGATTAGAGAAGCTTGGCATATCATAAGGTAAGTTGTTGTCTTTTATTTTTCTTTTATGCGCGAAAATTTAAGGAAAAAGAATGTCACTTCATTTTAAAGTCAATAAATGTCATAAACTTAAATAACTTATAATAATATTTACTGATGAATTATTAATAAAATATCAACAAAATAAACCCAAGTTAATTGTTTTGTCTCTGTTCAATCCTACTGTCTTCTCTAATATGTCTTCAGTCTCCTTTTTTTTCTTTTTTGGCTGGATATCCCAATTGCATTAATCAAAATAAGCACAGCTATGGGCCGAAATAAGGTGCATGTTGGACTAGGTTATCTCAACGCACTGCCTTCTCCAAGCTTATTAGCTGTATCTTTGTAACTTGGATAGTCTAATATTCTTTAATTTGTTTAGCCCAACAAAGAAAGAAAGAAAATGGAAACTGTGACTGCTGGAGATGGGTGGGGGTGTTCGCTAAAAAATTACCGTTGATACAAGATGAAACTGAAGAAATATCAGCATCTTAATCAAAATCAGAATCAAAAGACGTAAAAATGATTGTTCTATTTGCATATACTCAGACACGGCCTTTATGGTTTCACATATCAAATAGTAACATTTTTTTTTCCTCAAAACTTATCATCCTATTACTCATGCAACTTTCATTATAATTTGGATGAACACAAATTCATATTTGATTGTTTTACAGATAATCTACAATCTATTTTATACATACAAGTATTTGAACTAGGTGCGGCATCATTAATGTTTAGTCACCCAAAACCCCAGTCCTTTGTTAAAACAGAATATTAGGATTAAAAATTGTTAATGAATCTAGACACGATATCAATACATTAACAGAACATGTAAGCTAACAAGAAATGAGAAATGGAATAGTGCAATGATCACGATATCATTAAACTGATTAAAGAGTAAACTAACAAAATGAAATTAAAATTGTGGTAGCTTTCTCTCTAAGTAGTTGAAATATCATTACTGCGAAATATATGTCAAGTAACATAATAAATTTTGATGAAATATAAACCCCCATCGGCTATTTCATTCCATATCCATTTAACACAATGAAGTAATCTGTAGGAATTGAAAACCATTTCATATATCCATTTAAAATTCCAGTTTCATTTGTTTTAATATCCAGCCAGCTACCACGAACCTTCGGCACCCACTGTTGGATTCTTGAAAGCAGAGAACTCCCAGTACGTTTTTAGTGAGAACGGCGGGAAAACAGTAGCACCTTCTTCAGTCATTTTAGATATCTGTGAATTCAACATAAGAGATCCACTAAATATTATACAGCAATAAATAATCGACACAATTCAAATGAAAAGTATATTAAGAATCCAACAATGTATAAAGGAAGAAAAGTCATGATCTAGGCTTCCTATATACATAATAGAAGGGTGAAGATAAACCTCCCCCTCCCATAATTAAGCTATCTTCCCACTAAAAACCTTCAAAACATTTTATCTTTTGTGCGAAGTGCAGATTAGACCCCATGAGGATCCAATCCCATGTAGAGAAAAGGCAGCATGTGAGCTACAGCTCACCAGAGATTCCGCATCCTAGCAGCCATTAACTCCCCACCCCGTGCGGGGTGACCAGATCTACACTTTCTGTAACCACTTACGAAATATAATCCCTTTTGGGGGCCAAATACCTCCAATCTCTACCGTAGGTGCCAGAGAAGAATGAGAAGAGCTCTATCTACGTAATGGATTCGGCGTCATTGAATGCTTTGGCTATGAAATATAGGCCTCAAGGGGTCAATTTGAAATCTAAAATTCTAACTGAAAAATGGAATAGGATATTCTACCTACCTTTTTTTCATACCTACCTTACCTACTCATCTTCAATATCATTAGATTAGAATCTCAACCAACTTTCACCCTTTCTCTCTCCTATTGAGATTATGATCCAATGGTGTAAGAGATGAGTAGGTAGAGTAGGCATGAAAAAAGATAAGCGTAATATCCTATCCTATCCCCTGAAAAGTATATTGCCCTTCTATCAAAGACAGCAATGCAAACGCAAGAGAACTACGGAAAAAAACTCCTAGCAGAAACCAAGAAATAAAAAAAATATTATTCATTCCCCAAACTCCCCTCCAAACTTCATTGATAACCCAAAAATCCAAAACTAATCAAAGTTTTGTGCAGTATCTTGAAAGACTTAAGTAAATTGCAAAAGTATATGAAAGCTTTAACATCCAACAGAGAAAGGGGACGGGCATGCAGTTATAATGCAAGTGTGCCCTTAACAACTATAGGTTTAGGAAAATGTTTTGAGATTTCACTTATATTACAACTTTGTGCAATTTTAATTCACTTTTAGATGATGATACTTCGATTCCTTTTGTATACAATTTTTTCACTTAGACCAGAGTCAGGTGCATAATTCTACAACCTCCATATGGATTATGCTCCCTTGCAGCTTTTTAAAAATTCAAGTACACATGTATTTTCCATGCACTTCAGGTAACGGGGATTGGGGGAAGAGGGATGCAAGAAAAAAAAGGAATAACAGCAAAACCTGTATCTTGTTGACAGCAGATCTATCACGATACAAAAGCACACGCATGCATTTTTCCAGTAACTTGACACCTTCTTCAAAGGTCAAATTTTCATGCCACTCATCACGGAGAATAGGCCTAGCAAGATGATTTCCCAACCCAGTTGCCATATGATCGTCTTCAAAATTAACTCCAATCATGTTAACCTGGATAAGATTCATAAGAACAAGCGCTGAGTAAACTTGCAGGTTACTCATTTTTTAACAAAATATAAAGACAAGCCAAGGCATACCATGCCAAGGTACTTTTGTCCATTCTTCACACCGCCAAGTATGAGAGAGTTCCACAAAGGGTTGAACTTGTTACGCCTATTATACATCACTCGAGTTAAATAGTTGTGCACCTCCTTAGGCCCTAGAGAATTCCCGTCATCCCACATGTTGTCACTAAGACTGCAAAAGTCAAAAGTCAAAATTCAAAATCAACAGTTCTATGGGTAGGTTGAAGAAATCAAATCTGAAATGATCGTGGAGGGGGACACACAGATGGACTCATTTCCTTGAAGTTTGAAATAAATAAATAAATAAATAAAGCAAGGGAAACAAAAGCAACAGCAAAGCAATTAACACAGCAGATTCTTCTGTCCTTATGAGAAACAATCAAGACTTACATAAGCTCATCGAGGTAGCGTAGAATCTCCTGAAAATCACTTATTTCCCCACTGGCACCAAGAAGGGAATGTTTCCCAATAGGCTTCAAACGCTCAACACTCTTGTATCGCAGGGTAGACCCATAGGAACCTTTCAGTGTATCCATCATTAACATAACACACAGAGTGAGGCCATTATTTGAGAGAGGGGGTATAAACAACACATTGCTGACATATTTCTGATTCAGAACATTACTAGTTTACTACTAAAACCAACACTTCACAGCAATCACAATTTACTAAAAAGTACAACATTCAACATAATATTTGAAAAGAAAATAAAACAATTGAAGCATACAATTCCAGCAAATAAGCTAAAATTGATACACACTAACCCAAAAAAAATTCGTAACGAGTATTTACAAAAAAAAAAAAAAAAAAAAAAACTACTGCTCAAATTTTGGGCAGGCAAATATACAACCAATGTGCAATAACAAAAAAAAGGTTTATTATCAACAATACATGAATGAAAATATACAAAATAAGGATAGGAGATGAATTTGCATGCTGACCTCCCATATCAGCAGCCATGAGAATCCCATCTTTGTATTTGATGGCCACCACAGAGGATCCAGTTACATATGGGTACCTAAACATACAAAGCAAAATTTAGGTCAAACGAAAATACCAAAATATACGAGTTAAGGATGAACGTAAGAAATTAACTTTCTAAGTTTCAGCACAGCACAAAACCTTGAACTCCGTACATGGAAATTGAAACACACGCACATATATACACACACGCATCAATGAATGTAGAGAGAGAGAGAGAGGCAGAGAGGACATACAAAGTTCTCTCTGTTTCAGCTACAGAGCCCATGATTTGAAAATTGAACAACAAAGAACAAGAGTGCGATTTTGAGTTGCGAAGATCGGAATGCTACTCTTCTTCAGTAAGAGCACTATCGTTTTTGCTTTTATTTTTATTTTTTTCAGAATTTGCTTACTTTACCCTTTCTTCAAGAAACAATATATATTTTCCTTTTATTTTTTCTGAAAAAACAAAGGGTATAAGTAAACGATGATGGACTAAAAGCCCATAGTCTTTTCATTCGGCTTGGTAATGGGCTTAAAGCCTTCCATTCTTTAAATGTTTGTTTTTACATTTTTTTTAGCAAAATCTAAATATTTTTTTAAGTGCTCGCGTGTTATTCTTTTAAAAAATAACATATATTTTTTAATCACATTTTTTAAATTTTCCCATATAGGTGTATAAAGTTAATATGCATATAATATTTTTAAAAATTACTATTATATATAATGTCACGTCCTAGACGAAAAAAAAGTTATATGTGATAAATACACTTAATTATATATATATACTAAATACACTTAATTATATATAGAGTGTGTTGAGGTCAATGTTATAAAACGAATCATGCATTAGGGATTCAATTAGTGGGTCGTTAGTTGCACAAATTAAATTAAATTTATATAAAAATATGCAATAAATATAAAAATAAAAAAGTAATATATGAAACACCCTCAAATTATTTTAAAATAATCATCATAATAATAGTAAGGGAAAAGTGTGGGCTATTTGACCATTTTACCCCTCATTAATTAATTAATAATTATTTTGCCCCTGATTCGAAACTATCTATTAATCTGCCCCTCTTTAATCGACTACCTTGCATTTTTAATCGACTAAATAGTTGTTGGGAGATTTAATCGACTAAATCTCCCTACTTAATCGATTAAAAAATCATACTGACTTGTTTTCCTTTGTTGTCTGTTGGGAGATTTAGTCGACTAAATAGGGAGATTTAGTCGATTAAATCTCCCAACAGCCATTTTGGCCTGTTTTGGCCATTTAGTCGATTAAAAATGCAAGGTAGTCGATTAAAAAGGGACAGATTGGTAGATAGTTTCGAATCAGGGGCAAAATGGTTATTGATTAATTAATAAGGGGCAAAAGGGTGAAAAAGCCGAAAAGTGTGTATCATTTTAAAGGATGTAAAGTTGTGTCATTTTAAGTGAGAGAAAGAGATAGATAAAGGAGGAGAGAGAGTGAACAAAAAAATATAAAGATGTGGGTCTCACCTCTTTGTGAGAGTGAAAGGATATAAGTTGTGTTATTTAAAAGGACAAACATTTTTCCCTAATAATAAAGGTTTAATGTTTCTGCTTTTGTAATAAAAACAAATTCTCTATCACACTCATACAAAAGTGGGTGGGTCCTACTCATTTTTTATCTTTTTTTTTTCTTTAAAATGGGACATGCTCATTTTTGTGTGAGTATGGCAGAGGTTTTTTTTTTTTTTTTGCAGCAAAAGCAAAAAAAATAAAATTCTCTAACAATAATATATGTATTTATTAGACTTGTGATTTAAAGAGGTGTATTGGACTGAGATTTTAATGAATTATTTTTTAACATAAATTCCATTGGTATTCAATTAGTATTTTAAAGAATTGTAAAAGAGTCTCGTGGTATTCAATTAGGATTTTGAATGATTATTTTAGAGTTTGTCAAAATCCAGTGTTATTCAATCAGATTTCAACAAAGAAAAAATAATCTTGTGACATTCAAAAATCTTATGATTTAAATGGATTTTCTTTTAGTGCGAATTTTGTAAAACATCTTAGTGGAAATCATATATAGGATGCCTCTTTCACAATCTCACCTTAAATTTCTCTATTGTAGTATCTCACAATTTATCCTAGCCTTTTCTCAAAGTCGAGGTAAGTTTTTTTTTTACTCTCATGCTTTCTCTGGTTTTGTCATTTCTCCTTATGCTATTCTTCTTCAATATTAATTGATGATTTATGATTGTGCTTGTCATCTCTAATGATTTGTTTTGTTTTGTTTTCTTTATATGATTTATAAATATTTTTTTTATGTATTTATACTTTTAATATAATTATTATTTATATATATAGGTGTGTGTATTTATAAAATAAAAAAATAAAAATGAAATATATATATATATATATATAAGTAAATATTATATTAAAAGTATTCAATAAATAACATCGTTATTTGTATTATAATAATTTAACTTAAAGTAAAACACAAAATATTATAATATCATTATATATATATATATATATATATATTATCTATCATATGCAGTAATTTATAATATATTATATGATTATGTTAGTAATATATAATATTGTATGATCATTTTATTAAACATAAAATTGGTGGTGCTTTATACGATATATTGTGGCGCTTTATGCGCCAATTGGTGATATGTATAGCGCTTTATGTACCAATTTGTGAGACAAAATGGCATTTTTTGTGAAATCGTTGTCATTTTATTTTTTAGTATTACATTTTTTCTTCCCTAAATAAAATTTTGTCCTCAAATTTTGACATACTTTCTAAAAAAAAATTCAGAATAACTTTGTTCAATTACCTAAAATGCACCACGTTTCCAGTGTGACTTATCTGTTAGAAAATTTTAATTAACTTTGTTCAATTATCTATAATTCAGACAGTGGAAAATTAACTATTTTATGCTAAAATTACATCTATTATAAGTAAATAAACTAAATCTATCTCAAATAACTTCCCTTGAATAATTTCTACAAACGTAGTGAGAATGAAACTTCAAGTTGAAAAGGTAGAATGAGAATTGATAACTTATACCAAATTTAAACTGCTTCCTAACCATTGAGAGTAAAAAAAATTTCCTTTGCTACAGATTGATTGGATGAATTATGTCCTTGATTTTGAGGGTATTCTCTCATCAGGTGTCCTGACTTTCCACACTTAAAACATATGTCTTTTCTTACTAGCCATTCTCCAATATGATTTTTCTTACACTTAGGACATACTTGAATCTGATAATTAATATATTTTCTCTTCCTTCATTACCAATAGAGTTGTTTCTTGAGTCTTGTGCTTGTGAAAATCTCTCTTCTTCGTTGTCATCATTCTTCCTTCGATTTGCTCATCTGACTTTCTCCTTTGCCTCCTTAACTTCTATCATGCTTGCTTTAATGTTTCTGCACCTGTTTATTAGTGATGACAAATTTCTCATTTGATGTCCTATTATCATGCTTTTAAGTTCAATTTTAATCCATATTCAAACTTAGTTGTCAACATTCTTCATTAGGTTGATTTTGTACCTAATTGGAATATCTTTATAGTTCCTCAAATTTTGCCACATGTTTACCAACAGTCATATTTCCTACTTTTAGTTCAAGAAATTCCATTTCCTTCTTGTTTCTTACACTTTGTGGAAAATATTTTTCCAAATGCATATTTAAATGTTGTCAAATTAATTTTTGTTCCTTGACTTTGGAAATATCTTTTGGTATTTGTCCATCAATGTTCTGTTTCTCCAATCAACATATATGTGGCAAAATTTACTTGAAGAATAATAGGACAGTTCATTACGAGGAATATTTTCTCAAGTTCTTTCATCCATTCCACAGTTGTCTCAAGGTTATAATCTCAACCAAAAGTGGAAGGTTTATGCTTACGGAATTTAATTAGGCCTATGTAACCAGGATTAGGTCCCCCCCTGGGCATTCGCAGATTTAGGTCCACTTTTACTTTCAAAGTCATAGGTATGGTTTCTGGTTGCATGATCCTCCCTAAGCTCGAGAATAATTTGCTGATTTGATATAGTCTGTTCTCTAAGAGCTTCTGCCACCCGGTTAAACGCATTAGTTACTGGGTTAACTCCTTGTTCAGAGGTTGAAGATGTTTGTCTTGTATATGCCATATATCTATATATATTGTTTCACAGTAATGACTCGGCCAGGCTCAATACTAATAATTCAAAATACGAATGACCTATGACAAGATATCAAACAATATATAATTTAAGTATTTTATTTACTTGAATCGTTCTGTTCTGATACCATAAAATGTAACACCCCCTTTAATCGACTAGCATATAGGATATCACATTAATTTCTTAATTCTTATTTTATATATAACGCAACTGTTATAAAATAAATACCTTTTAAATCTAAGCAACAGATAAGAACTAAGGCGTATGATAAAATATTCTTAAAATTTAATTATACATCATACTGAAATTAAGTTCACTATTACATATGAAATAACCTATATTACATCATACTCTAAACTGAAAAGAGGTTTTTTATTCTATCAATTACTCCACCGAACTTCGTACAGTCTCTAAAGTATTTTACCCATATGGAGCTTTAAAATTACTTTAAGTTCATGTAATGCAATCTACTATATATCCTTACAATCATATCTAAGTCCTAAAAGTATATTATAATAGGAAATTAGACTTAGCTTGTTGGTTACAATCTTGGATCTTGATTATTCACTTGAGCTTGATGCTTTGATTTGTACGACAATAATTGATATTATGTTGGACTTCATGAATATATTTTTTTACCGTGACTTGTGACATTAAAATCATCTTAAATATTGTCTATGGTTTGTTACCTTTGATATTATTTTTGCTATTCTTTTTCTTTCTTGTTGCACATGATTAAATTGCTGTTGACTCCTTGCTATCCTTAAAGCTCATCCATGTTGTTGCAACTTTGATATGTCATTAATCTTCCTGTGTGGCTCTATTATGGGTTTTTTGACCATTGTGCCTTTAATTACATAAAAAAATAACACTTTGCTCCCGTATCACAATATTTCACTTATCTGCCATTGTTTGACCGTTGACCGCGCAATATACTCAAGTATATTGCGTGAAACAACAAATACTCGAGTATAGTATCCTGATAGTCGAGTATTTTTTGCCATCTTGGTTTGTTTTAACATTTCCTCGAGCATTGGACCGAGATACTTAAGTATTTGTTGTTCCACACAATATACTCGTGTAAATGAGACCAAAATGTCTATGGGAATTTTTCAAAGTGTAGCTCTGAAAAAGTTATGTTGAATAAAAAAATTGATTCGGACACTTGAAAGCCGAGTCAAAAGTTATGGCATTCTGAAGTTTTATTCTAAAATTTTCAAAATTTTGTAATACCAATAGATTTTGTGATACTCACAAAGTTCCTTTTCAGGTTACTCGAGTCAAATCCAATATTATAAGTATATTACTATAGAAACTTGTTTGATCCAAAAATTTTATGGAAAAAAATTTAACCTAAAACTTCGCATGACCATATTTTGTGGATCAAAAAAGTTTTGTGAGTATCACAAAATATATTGACATTACATACATTTCAAGTCTTTTTATATTATATATGTAGAATTAAAATTCAAAGTATGTAAGTAAATTAATAACGGGGGATGTTACGATATTACAATCGAAGCGAAGTGACTTATTTGAATTGAAGGAGTGCAATTGTGGTGTAATATTTTCTTACAATTTCCAATTATCAGTTTAACCAGAAAAATTAGTACTAAATTAGCACTGGTCGAACCTGATTTGTGACTAGTTCAACAATTCTTAACCAAGTTATATGCATCGTCGGTCAACTGATTGGGTCGGACCGATTAGTGGTCAAGTTCTTGGTTGGACAAGAAATAATTTTATAAGTACATTTCTTCAATGTTTATATTTTTTTTTTTGGTAAAATATTGTATATGCTATGCTAAGTTATCAATGATATATAATACATCATATATACATGTGTGAAAAATTACTTATAGAAAAAAATCTTATGCTTAAAAAATGTTAAATGCTTCAAACAATTTTTTTGTTGGGTACAAAACTGTATATGCTAAGTAATCAATAATATATAATACATTATACATATATACGAAAAACAACTTATGGAAAAAATCTTTTCTTTCAAAAGAATAAAATTTTACGCTTGTTTGTAATTAGTTTTCAAAAAAGGTTTTTTGATTTTCACAAAAAATAAAAACCTGTTTAGTAAAAAAAATTGAAAACTGTAACATTTTTTTTTGTTTTCATAATCAAATTTAGAGGACATGTCTGAATTATTTTAGCTTTTTGTTTAGTTTTTAACTTAAAAAAAAAACACAGAAAATAACTGTTTTCATAACTATTATATAAAATAGTTTTAAAAACAAAAAAACAATACACAATCAAATAGGCCCGTAATACTCGAAACAATAATTAATTTCACGTGTAAAAAATAAAAATAAAAAGCCATTGTGAGAATTGAAATATCGTACATAATGGATTTGATTATATATATATATATATATATATATATATATATATATAAATTATTTATTGATTCTCAAACTTTAAAATTTGACATTAAATTTTAATCATTGATATTTACCAGTTAAATTCATTAATTAATTATTATTTTTTAATAAATAATAATTATTGATTAACGAAAATCAATAGCTACGATTAAATGTAAAATTTTAAATAGTTATGATTAAATGTAAAATTTTAAAGTTTGACATTTGTATTAAAATATCCTATCTCATATATATAGGATATTTTAAAGTTATGATTAAATGGAAGAAAAGAAGCATGTACAAAATAAATAAATAAATTTTATTGCTTAAAAATATATGTGACATTTAGTTCTTTTAATAAATTTATATCAATTTATTCCATTAATTATAGAAAAATACATTAATTGTTAAAAATATTATTTTAATAAGAAAACTCCATTTGAGAATGTTCTCGTAACGTGACCTTCTCTGGTAAAAACGTTTTCCTCGTCACCTTTGTTAACTTCTCCTGCACATTCAACCATACCTATGTCATAATATAATAAGGGTTTATCATCTATCATTTAACATGACCACAAAAATTTTCCTACACACACAACATTTTGTGGGGCCCGCAGCAAAAAAAAAAAAAAAACTCTAGCACGCAAAACGAATCTCTATAACATAACACAATCACTTTTCCTACAACATAACTCTTATAAAACCCATATAATAATTGGTTGATTAAAAAACATTTTTCCAACACCATCTATTTATTTATTTTTAATATTTGATCATCTTTTAACTGACGAGCTCGTCGTACGCCAGAGCGCACCGAAACCGAACCCGGACTTGTTGCTGTAAAAAAAACTAGATTGGATAATCAGCGATAGATCCGAACTTGGTAAGTGGAGAGAGAGATTGGGTTCTGGTTTTGGTCTCCTCGGTCAAAAGAGAACACGCAAACCAGCCAACCCTTCACACAACGCAAACGTGTGTGCGCGCGTAGTCGGTGTGTGCTTCTCCCTCACCCCCAGACCCTAATCGCCACAGCTTCGAATCGATTATATGGTTGGTCTTTTCTAATTCTAGCTCGAATTTCAACTTCCTTGCTACGATCAATTCCGGTTTTCATTTCCAATTTATTTCAGTTCCGTAATTCAATTGATTGTGCCTTTTTTTTTTGCTGGTTTATTTGATTTGATTTGATTTGATTAGACCGATTACTGTTGGGGCCAGCATGCGCTAGCTTCCTTGTCGATTATCAAGTTGCTGATTCTGCTGATTCATTTCGTGCTGAATTATTGGATTTGAAGTCATGGATTTGGATTTGGTATCAAGTGTCAAGGTATATGATATATCCTTGACTTTTTTTTTTTGTGGTAGATAGATAAACAGTTTTTTTTTTTTTTTTTTTTAAATTTATCATCATCTCCAAAGGATCCCTTGTAACTCATTTATTTCGCATGTGTTGCAAATTGAGTTAGCTTTGTACTTTTCGACTTCGTCAAAATATTAATACAGAAAACGCTTTTGATTTTCGGGATGATGAATAATATATTTGGTTTATATACTAGAAACATACAGTAAGAGCAAGGAAATTTCATATTTATATATATATATATATTATAAATTGGATTAGCACGGATAATGAAAGACATTTTTACTGGAAAAGTATGGTATGTACCTTGTTGATTGATTGAACTTTTAGTTTTTATATGGTTTTGGTTATATATCTTGGAAACAATGCTAAACAAGGTGTTTTTTAGTACATGTTTTAATTTTCAGATCTTTTTATCCACTCACTGTTTTGACATTGTTTATAGGGAGCGGTTATACTTACTACTGAAAAGTTTTACTACTCTTAGTTACTACTAAACTAATCACCGTTAATTTCCGCCATCTAACGGTTATATATACTCATTATGTTAGTATTGGATATTTGTGGACAACGTGATTCCATGGTAGGAACTTTTTTAGTTTATTTGATGAAATTGTACTATGGCTTAAAATACTATATGGAAAAGCTAACATATAATTACACTTGAATTTCATTTGCATTACTTTACTGATTCATTGAAATCTCTTGTAGGAAAAATTGACATATTTTCGTATAAAAGAGCTCAAAGATGTGCTCTCTCAGTTAGGACTTTCCAAGCAGGGAAAGAAGCAGGTGAGATAATGAAATTATTGCTGAGTCAACTATTGTTATTTTATTAGGCTTTTTATATGAAACCTGAATGCTAGTATTGACACCCCATTGAATAATATTTATTGCCTGATTACTGGTTCTTGTTGATGATGACAAGTTGACAACCACTATTTCTTTCTTGATTTATTAATCTTTTTCTTTTCCATTTTCCGACTGTGTTACATAGCAGTTGGATTATTGTTTTTGATCTTATATGGTTAGGCATTGTACTTCTCTTAGCTATTAATAATATGAGTTTGCAACGCTTAAAATAGATGGATATAGTCTATTTATTACGTGAATTTTCATTATTGTAGTAACTTTGATTTGGAGTCCATGTATTATTTCCTTTTTAATCCTTAACTTAATATGCTGTCTTGGAGTTTTAGGATGATATAGTGATGCCAATGCTTCATCTTCTGCAGGATCTTTTGGAGCGCATATTATCCATTCTCTCTGATGATCAAGGTAAAATTATACACGTATGCACAGACACACAGGACTCAACTTTTGAGTCTAATTCTATGTTATATTTCTGTATTATTTTCTTAGTGCTTCTGTTTAGTTTGTGATGATGTCTATATATTGGAACTCTCGACAATATCTGCATAGGAAATGTGTATGGAATGGAATCATTAACTACATTAGAAGTATCTGCCAAGTAGAAGTTTATGCGTAGTTTTGTATTTGTCTTCCAATATCTGATTGAAATTGGCAATTGTAGTTATTGTAGCAACGTCTTTGATTCAAGTTCAGATGGAAATCTTTGGATAAGGCCATGGATTTTTTTTTTCATTTGCTCCAACAGTAAATCATCCTCGTTGATCAGATAAATTTGAGCTGTTTGTTTTCATCTGGGCTTGTATTTGTGCCCCAAATCTCCTTTATTTCCCCCTTCTCTTATTTGTTATATTTAAAGCTGGTTTGGCACATTCTATCTATTTTAGTAATGATGACTGACTTTGTGGGCAAAGCTTATTGAATCATAAAGCATTTGGGAGTATTGTCCGTCTAATTTAGTTCTGTGATTTTAGTATATGGAATTGGTTTCCTTGTGTTGCTTCCTCCTTACTCCTGTAAATTAAGCAACTTGTTTCTTTTTTCCCAGTTTCCAAAATGTGGGCTAAGAAGAATGCTCTTGGGAAAGAACAGGTGGCCAAATTAGTGGACGATACATACAGGTTAGTTTCAGCAATGTCATTGCTGATGATATTTTCTTCTAGCTTCCGGTATGCTTCAGATACATTTAATGGCCTAAAATATTTGGATAAGTTCACATAAATGATCTTGTTCTTCACTATTAGGTCTGGTTTATCGGATGCAATCTTCTTGTCTTGGCTTTGTTATATTTTATTGGCATTTTGTATTTTCTTTTGCCCCAGAAAAATGCAGCCGATATCTGGGGCCACTGATCTAGCATCGAAGGGACAGGGTGCGTCAGATAGTAGTAACGTGAAAGTTAAAGCTGAAATTGACGATTCCTTTCAATCGGATGCTAAGATTCGCTGTCTCTGTGGAAAAACATTGGAAACAGAGGATTTGGTCAAGGTGCGACATTGAAAATGTTTCTTCTTTCTTTATATCTATAAAATTCTGTGCATTTTTATATGCAAACATTATTTGATTGATAAACAGCCAAATTATGTTCTCATGTCCTTTTTTAGTGTGATTACACAAATTTTTCATGAAGACCTCCTGGATGTCACTTACACTTGATAATTTTGGAAATTTAATTTTTCTCATCTTATTGCAGTGCGATGATGAAAAATGCCATGTGTGGCAACACATCAGTTGCGTTATTATTCCAGAGAAACCTATGGAAGGCATCCCACCAGTACCTGATAAGTTTTATTGTGAAATCTGTCGACTCAGTCGTGCAGACCCGTATGTCATATTTCCTTCTTAATTTAGCTAGTAGCTATATATGGACTGAGCAATAATGATTTGTTTGAAAGTTTTTCAAATCATACTTTAGTATTGAATGCTTTATTTTTAATTTTTTAGATTTTATGTTAAAGGGTTTTAGTGTGTGATTGATTGTCTTCAAGGGGTTGTGATGGTTGACATGATTTGCTTTTCATCTTCAATTTCTCTGTGATGGTTTCCTCTGGTGTAGTGAAATAAGCTTTGTAGTTGTGAGATGATACTAAGTTTCATGGAACGGCTCTTCCCTCATTTAACCTGTTACATCCTCTCATAATTGACCTCTATTTTTTGTCCCTTCTATTGTTTAGCATTTCTCAATTTTTTTGCACCACAAACTTATATTTTCTGCTGTTCTCTCTGTTACAGGTTTTGGGTTTCAAAGGCGCATCCTCTGTTTCCAGTAAAGCTGACCATAACCAGTAATCCGACTGATGGGTGAGTACATGGTATAGATTTACTGACATTAGACGTAGTTTGTGTAATTGGGTTCACTTGTTTCTTAGTAAAATGAATGTCTTGTTTAATATATGCCTCGGAATCTAGATATACTCTTTGTTGTCTAATTTGCATGTAAGAAACTGGGATGTCTTTCACTTTGGCTTGAATACTAGGCCTGGCATGAGTGCAAGTTCTTTTGCTTGATACTATAAATGTTATAAGGATCGTAATTTATGCTAATTGCTTGGACTTTAATGTTGATGTCGTGTAGTATTTATATTGTTAGTTAAAATTCTTTGGATGTTGAATTCTCTTTTGAGTGAAATTTCCTCAGGACAATAACCTATTAAGATGTGAAGATTTTCTCCTTTTTGTTTTTTTCTCTTTCTCTTGTCTTAATGTTTTCTTAAATCTTTATTGGATGGAACTAAACTAGTAATATGTTTTTAAGACACGATCTAGGGGTCCTGCACAAAAAATTATTAAAATCTAATTTTTATTATGACTTTCTGCTTGAATAGGTTAACCACATTCCTGTTTGAATTTTTTAGATCCAACCCAGTGCAGAGTGTGGAGAAAACATTTCAACTTACAAGAACAGAGAAGGACCTTGTGTCAAAACCGGAATTCGATGTTGAGGTTGGTTTGGATTCCATGGCTTGTTGCATTGGGTTTGCTTATTTATTAAAAAAAGTAACATCATATGTAGGCTTGGTGTATGCTTCTAAACGACAAGGTTCCATTCAGGATGCATTGGCCACAATTCACAGACCTACAGGTCAATGGTATGTTAATACAAATTATGATCTCCTTACTGTTTTGGAATTATGTTTCATGTCATCAGTCCAGTGTGTGTTTGGATTAGCTTATTTTGGTGTAAAAAAAGTGATTATTTTTCCAAAATAACTTGTTACAAAGTTTTGATTACCATGGTATGTTAAGCAATTAGAAGCACATCATTTTAAAGTGAAACACAGAACATTGTGTAATGAATGGCCTTTCTAGTAGCTATATTTAAAATATGCTCTCGTTGATTTGACTTTGACCATATAGGTGTTCCGGTTCGTGCAATTAACAGACCTGGTTCACAATTGCTTGGGACTAATGGTCGTGATGATGGTCCAATTGTGAGTTTGTTGTCATTAATGGTTATGATATAACTATTTAAAATTCTGACATGGGGTCATTTAATATGTAAATCTAATTTTTGCTGGTTTTATTCAATTTCTTATCGTACTTCTCCTTTGTCAGATCACGCCATATACAAAGGACGGAATTAATAAGATTTCCTTAACAGTATGTGATGCTCGCATTTTTTGTTTAGGGGTTCGTATTGTTGAAAGGCGCAGCATGCAACAGGTAGATATCATTCTAAGCTTGATTATTTTCTAAGCAAACTATTATGAATGACTGTTGGTTCCTTTAATCCAGCCTTGTGGTACTGGAATAGTGAAGTTTGATGTTCAGATGTCAGTCCAAAGTTCCTGTTGTTGGTCCCTTTTGATTGATTTCTTAAAACATCAAATTTTACAGAACTTGGTATGCTTTGGTGTTTATCTTTCTTTGTCAATTTTGAATAACACCTAAAATTATGAAAAAGATAGTTTGGGAACTGATGTCCCACTTAGCATAGAGGGACCAAGGCAGATGTTTCTTCCTCCACAATAAATTGGAAAGCACAACTGCAAAGTATATGGGCGTCATAAAGTGTTGCTTCTACTCTAAATAACCAAATTTTTGTGGCTTTAGTTTATTGGGCATAGTTTGGGCTTTTAGTTGTGTATCCGACAAGCCAAATGTTTTAAGAAAATATATTGCTTATTTTACTTGATAATAATTACTAGATCTGGTTTGTGTTTTAACAAAGTTTATGGTTTTAATTGATTTTGACTGGTCCAACTCCCAATCATGTTTTGTTTGTTGAATTAATTCAGACTGGAAGCCTGATCGTCACCTGTTGAACCGACCAGTCCAGTCTGGTTTTAGAACATTGTTTGCATTTGTGTTGCTTTTCTTGAAGATGTTACCTTGGTGTGAATATTTTTACGTACATATGGTTCCCTTCTGTTGCTGTCCTAAATTTGTGGTTAAATAATTGAATCTCTGTTATGTAGATCCTAAACATGATTCCAAAGGAATCTGATGGTGAGTGTTTTGAAGATGCTCTTGCACGTGTCTCTCGTTGTGTTGGTGGTGGAAATGCAGCTGATAAAGCTGATAGTGATAGTGATTTGGAAGTGGTTTCAGATACTTTCAGCATTAATCTTCGCTGTCCAGTAAGACTTTCGTGTATTGGATTATCTAAGTAATTCATGAAGTTCTACTAATCAGTTTTCTACATTTTGGTGAATTTTATAGATGAGCGGTTCAAGAATGAAGATTGCTGGAAGATTCAAACCTTGCATTCACATGGGTTGCTTTGATCTTGAAGTTTTTGTGGAAATGAATCAACGGTCAAGGAAGGTAAGATTCTAACAAACGGTGCATGATTTGCCCCTCACCTCTATGATGATCATTTATGTCTGATGAAGAATTTAATTGTTTCTGCAGTGGCAATGTCCCATATGTCTCAAAAACTATGCATTGGAGAATATCATCATTGACCCTTATTTCAACCGCATCACTTCTAAGGTTGTTATTTAAAAACAAAATTCTGTGTTCATAAATCTTCACATGATGAATCAGTAGTTATTATTTAATTGGTTTGCTGTTACAGATGATAAATTGTGGTGAAGAAGTTACAGAGGTTGAGGTGAAGCCTGATGGTTCTTGGCGTGTCAAGGCAAAGAGTGAAAGTGAACGTCTGGATTTAGGGAATCTTGCACAATGGCACTTTCCTGATGGATCCCTGTGTTTTTCTACCGATGGAGATGTCAAAAGAGTAGAAACATTGAAGCAGGTCAAACAGGAAGGTGTTTCGGACAGTCCTAATGGTTTAATACTTGGCATCAAGAAGAATCGCAATGGAGTTTGGGAAGTCAGCAAACCTGAGGGAACACACACCTCTTCTGGTAATAAATTAAAAGAAGTTTTTGGAAATCATAAACAGGTGGTTATTCCGATGAGCAGCAGTGCCACTGGAAGTGGCCGGGATGGTGATGATCCTAGCGTAAATCAAGGTGGGGGTGGGCATATTGATTATTCTACTACCAATGGGATTGAGATGGATTCTCTGTGTCTCAATAATGTTGATTTAGCATATGGATACACTGCCCATAGCACTTCTGCTCAGGTGGGTGATGCAGAAGTTATTATTCTTAGTGATTCTGATGAAGACAATGACATATTGGTATCTCCTCCAATTGCATATAAGAACAACCAAAATGATGCTGCTGGAAATGATTACTCTGTGCCTCCGCCTGGAATCGTTGATTCATATACTGAAGATCAGATTGGTGGAAATTCATGCTTGGGGCTTTTTCCTAGTGAAGATGATTTTGGGATACATTCCCTGTGGTCTTTGCCTTCTTCTACTCAGGCTGGTCCCAGTTTCCAATTATTTGGTTCGGATGCAGATGTGTCAGATGCATTGGTCCATCTGCAGCATGGTCCTATTAATTGCTCCTCCTCATTGAATGGTTATCCGTTGGCTCCCGATACTGCTTTGGGACCTAGTAGTCTCTTACCTAATTCCTCTGCTGGTCGGTCTGATGCTGACTTAAATGGTGGTTTGGTTGACAATCCATTGGCATTTGCTGGAGATGATCCCTCGCTTAAGATTTTTCTACCCACAAGACCTGCAGAATCATCTATGCAGAATGAATTGAGAGATCAGGCAGATGTGTCTAACGGTGACTGCTCTGGAGATTGGATATCCCTTAGCCTCGGAGGTGGCGCTGGCGCTGGTGGCAGTAATGGCAATGCTTCCACTCAAAATGGGTTGAATTCTAGACATCAACTCCCAACTAAAGAAAGTGCCACAAATACTTTGACCGATACTGGTTTGTTGCTCTCTGATCCTAAATCAGAAATATTCCATAATTCCTTATTTTCTAGTGGAGTTTACTCTTGTTGGGAACCTTTTATTACTTGATAGTGTGCAGTGGCGTACATTGTTAGCTGGGAGAGATTTTATATTTAATGAAGAAAGAGAAATTGACTTTATTCTTTAAATTTTTAAAAATAAAAGTAATAATAAATAACAATTTTTTTATATAACGATAAGTACGTATTTTTAATAATGTTTATAAAATATCTTAATGAAGAAATATGTCTAGTTTTGAAAGATATAACAGATGTTTTCAAAAAAATAGAAAATAGCGTTGAAGTCTAAAAAAATTAATAAAATATTTTGATAAAATTAAATGCTCTACAAATTAGAACGTAATGACCATATAAATTTTGGGTTTTGTTAAATGTGTGCCCTTAGTGCACGTGTTAGGAATAAATAAGGCATTTATTACTCCTAATTACTTAAAGAAGAAAATATTTGGTACTTTTTAAACTTCTATGTTTTTGAATGCTTGTGCTTTTCATTTAATAGTTTCTATTTTGCTTTCTTAACCTATGCCTTAAGGGCAAACATTAACATAATCTTTTTTTTTTATTATTATTTTTATTTTTTATTTTCTAAAGAAATCTGTTATTTATATTTTAATTTTTTTAATTCAAAGAGTATAGTTAATTTCTCTTTCTTCATTAAATAAAAATTTCACTATTCACTCTACTTAAAAAAAGTTATCTATTCCATTTCTTCATTAAATTGTGTGATTGTTAAGGGTAATTGTAGTGTTGGCAGAATTGCTGAGAGAAGAGGGAGAGGAGAGAGAGAGAGAGAGAGAGAGAGAGAGAGAGAGAGAGAATGAATGTAATTGCTTGTTCATTCCATACAACTGTGGCTTTTATAGCAAGGATTTGAAATACTAAAAGGTGAAACTAACAAATGCTAATTGATGCAATTCAGGAATAATAATACCTATCCAATCTTTTATTATTGGAAGCTAGTAAATGTTAATTGATATTACTGAAGATGTGGTTAGAATCTTTTCTAGCCACTTTTTGGATTTTTTTGTGCATGGAGTAAGATGCGAAGACCTTGGTGCATAACATCTCTTCCATTGTCGAGATGTGACATGTCCTCAAATCGAGTAACATCCAATACTTGTTCATCTTCCCAACTAGAGCCCTTGAGCGCTAGGTCCTACCATGGAATCAATTCATGCGAGACTTGTTGAGTACATCGCATGATAACCCATTAGGTCATAATATCAAGCGGCCTGTTAATGGGTAAAGTGGATCTGGTTTGATAGGCTTGGAGAGTCATCCTCCATTAACAAAGAACCTATAAATATGGAAGGGTGGAGTGGCTTTTGCATTGATGACTACAAACAAACTTCTTGTTGCAATTGAAGCTTATCCTTGTCGTACTGCACTTGCTTCTCTTCATCAATCACACGTTTGACAGGAATCCGTGTAATCGGGGAGTGAGAGATGACGGGGTGCCAAGGACTGCAACTGTGTTGCTAAGTTGAGACTTATATGTGTGTGCCTATGCGGACACATATTGTAAGTTCAAAGTTTCACAAGCTCGAACCACCATAAGCACCTGGAGTTGCAAGCAAAAGATAAATAGGTTGCGTAAATGCTCCTTATAGAGTCCACGGACCTTGCTGGCAAGGTTCTTGAAGGTGGCTTGGCTTGGTAGTCGAGAATAGAGCCAATTTGAGAAAATTGGAGAAAGCTTGGTGAAGAGAGCAGTTGCATCCCCGTACTCTGAAGGACCAAAGCGGTGATGGATGGCTTGGACAAATACGTCCCAATTGGGCAGGAGGTTATTAGCCGCAAGACCTTGGTACCAAGTGGCTGCAAGTTCATTGAGATGCATTGCGGTCAACAACAGCCGATTCTCCATGTGCTTACTATAATACTGAAAATAGTGTTGCACGTTGAAAAGCCAAGTGGTTGGGTCACTTGAGGAAAAAAATGAGGGAACTTGGGGCTGTGGACTCTATTAAGAGAGCACGTTAATGAATTGGCACGTCATCTTAAAGTTGTCGGCTTGTGCAAAATGCCACAGTGTGCCTGACGTCGGATCTATAGTCAACGATGGTAGTGTTAGTCACGCGTGCCCGTTAATGCCCCAAGACTTTCTATTATAAATTGGTTTTCTTAGATTCCATGAAATCATGGCAGTGGTTATTGCAACTGGCTAGTTGTTGTAGTGCTTGCAATTGAGCCCCATGCTCTTGAGAATGGGTTGGTTGCATGGTGGAGGCAAGAGTAAAGCACCAGTTGTTAAGTGTAATTGTAGAGTTGGCAGAATTGCAGCCTGTTTCCCGATTGGCTTGTTGGTTTGGAACATGTCTTCAGTAGTTGTTTTGAATCCAGCATATAGAGAGAAGCTAATATAGCATCTCTTAATCGAAGAGTTGGCAGAATTACATAAAGAAAAGCAAAGACGAAGGGAGAGAGGAGAGAAGGATTGGAAGGAAGTAATTGCTTGTTTATTCAACACAACCATTGTTGCTTTTATAACAAGCATCAAAATTACTAGAAGGTTCGGCTAACAAATGCTAATGTTCATTGATACCAATAAGGACTAATGAATATCAATCCAATCTTTTATTAATGGAAGCTAGTAAATGCTAATTCAAACCGAGATGTGGTTACAATCTTCCCTTGCCACTCTTAGGGCTGTTTAAGCATCTGGAGTAGACGTGAAGACCTTGGTATGTAACATTGATTTTAAATCACTAGGTCAAAAATGAAATCAGTGGTTAGAGAATGGTGTAAAAATTTCATTCTTCCATAGGCATCAAATAATCCTTTGGTAAAATGCCAAACGGCCTAATCTAATAGGTATAACCTCAAATGTACATCCGAACCAATCTAAATTGGTTTGGATTGGAACGGTTTTTTAGGTTTTGTTAAAAAAAATAATATACAAACTCATCAGAATGTGAGAAATAAATCAAATACAAGTCTACACTAATTCATCAAAATACAATAAATACAAGTTCAAACAAATTCATCGAAATAACAATATGAATCTAAATTCTGAATACAAGTTCAAATTGTCATTCCTACAATATAATTCAAATCTAGGAAAGGGAGTTGAGTTTGACTTGGGGTATAGTAGGAAAGTTTTTAAATATAGATAATATAAGAATTTCTTTTGTAAAATATTTTAAAAATGCATATAAAATTCTAGGTTATCAATCGCGATTCTATCGCGCACAATCCTGCTATAGATGCAGGTATGTTATTTTTGCTACCCAACGCTACAGTTTTGTTGTAGAGATGTGATGGTAGGTCAAATTCCATATGACCCTTTTTGATTAGTGTCCCTTGTGCATTTTCATGGAGTATAATTGACTTTTTATTCTTTTTTTTGATAATGTCACCTCTAAAATTAAGGGTTTTGAGCCCTATCTCTCGACTGCTTCCTTTCCCTTGACGCACTCGCAACTCCTGCGCCCCCTCTGTATTCGGACTTAATTTCCAGCTAGCCCAGCTCACTTTTGGTAGTGTACTGATGATGTTCCGGCTAGGGACTGGGAGTTCAATGTCCTTCAACTCACTCTACTGACTGGCTCCTTGCCTCTGTTTTCACCTACTTCAACCCTCTTTTTCTCTTCAACCCGATGTTTTTGTCTTACAAGCAGTGTCTCTCTGACCTCTTACAAGGATTTATGTGGACTTTGTAGCAGTTATACCGTTATAGTGTTTTTGAGGTTGGCCATTTCGCCCTTCTATCTACGATTGATAACTATGATAAAATTTTGGATCCGAAAACTAATCAAAATTTGAAATTTATTTGGTTCAGTTATATATATATATGTGTAAAGAACTAATTCAACCGAAAACCTTAAAGTGTTGGGTGAGGGTCTTTTAATTGTTTATATTATTCTCTAACACACCTCTCGCAAGAGCCTTTTGGGCTTGCAGCGTGGATATTGCATATGCTCAATTTTTTTTTTTGTTGGTTTACCTTATGCTTATTTAATTGCACAAGTGGGGGGCGGTGAGAATCGAACTCGTGACCTTATGGTCACTGAAGCTTTGATACTATGTAAATAACTAATTTAACTCAAAACCTTAAGGTGTTGGATGAGGGTTTTTTTAATTGTTTATATTATTCTCTAACAATATATATATATATATATATATATATGGAATAAATAAGTTCTTAAAATAATTTGTTGGTTTCTTTCTTAGATAGCTCTACTGATACTGTAAATGAACATGTTTTATAAGCCTTTTTAGATGGAAAGTGTTAATTCTTTCAGATGGGGTTTTTTGTTCATTCCTATGCTTCGTATCAAGTTTATTTTATAAACTATTAAGGAGGATTGGAAGCTGGGTATTTATTTTCTTTGCATCGAGCACTGCTATACCTGCTGTGAAATGGTTAGAGACCATAAAATGTTTTGTAGGATTTGTCAAAATTCACTGCATGGTTGTGTTTATCTTCTGCATCATATCCTTTGTGCAAGAAATATAGAGAGAATTTTGTAGAAATCTTTATTCACAAAATGACCCAAATGCCGGGGTATGTAGACAATCTAAATGATTATTTGGATCACTTGAAAATGTGGAGGATGATAGCCTCTACCCAATGTTGAGGTGGTTAGCATTCCCTATGTGTTCATTTCTTTATGCATTTTGCATATCCCTGCATCCCCCTCTCCTTCCTTATTGTGTTTGGTTCCCTATTTCTGCTCCCAATCTGATAATTGCATTTTGACTTTTGAGTTAGTGACTATTGATGCATTTTTGACATTTTCTTTATCTCTCTTGACTGATTGTTTCTCCTGACGCAGCTTCTTTGCTTCTTGGTATGAATGATGTTAGATCTGACAAAGCAAGTAGGAAAAGATCAGATAGTCCTTTCTCATTTCCTCGCCAAAAACGTTCTGTAAGGCCGCGGTTGTACCTTTCTATTGATTCAGATTCGGAGTAAAGGTGTCAGGCCTTGTGTCTCAAGAACTTTAGGTACTCTTCTTAACACCAGATTTTGTTATAAATTAAAGGGAGGCATTTTTGGTCCTCGTGAAATGGCAGTTCATGTGGTCTGAGGCATCTCTGGTGGAACAGAGCTACAAATTTGCCCTGCTAAAATGCTTGCACACCTATTGGCAATTGTGTTGGCTGTATAAGATTCTCAATTTTTTATGCTTGATATTTAAGTTGCCCTTATGATAGATGTTAACAGGTTAAGCCTAAGCTTTTATTTCCTTCAATTTTCAATGAGGATCTGCTGGTGTTTAGTGCTGGTTCATTGTACAGTTGGTCATTCAAATCTGGTAGTTCAAACTTTTTAAGTTTGTGGGAAGTTTCCCTTGGGAATATTATATATAGCATTTTTTGTCTCTGCTGAGAGCAAATAACCTGTAAATGCTTAGCCATCGGATTCAATAGTGAAATCAAAAACATTTTTTTTTCTTAATCAGTTGGGTTATTTATCCAGGATATTATATGTTTTGCTTTCAGTAGCATAGTAGCATGCCTCCTGATTGGCCTGGTAGACGCCCAATTTTATATTATCTTGAAGTAAATATTTTTTTGTAACATATTTGATCACAAAAGATGCCTCTTGGATTGTACTTCCCGATGAGGATGTTTATTTGTATTTTGTTCCTGCTGAGCTTGTTGGCATTGTTCCGTGTTTGTTTGCACAGAAGTTTGAGTGAAAAAAAATAAAAAATAGAGCCCCCTTAATGATAAGGGATATAGTCCACTGTCGTTTAAGAGATAGATTATTTTAAGCTCCTGTCTGGCTGCTGAAAAATATGTAGGTTGGCAGCTGCTGTGTATACCCAAACTAGTTTAACAGGATGCTGGAGGAACGCGGTTTGGTTGTAGCCATCATTGCTATATTTCTCTTTAAAATTTTAGTGCTGGTTTAGTTTTTAAAATCAATTATATTCCTTAGTTTAAACTACCATATAACTTTTGGGTTTCTTAGAAATCAGCAAGAAAGGAAGATGTATTATAAAGAAAAGAGTTTTTGTCTGAAAAACTAAAGGAGTGAAAACATAATTTTATTTTTCGCAGTTGGTTTTTGTAGTTAAATGTTGTAATTTTGTATTTTTCTTTTATAGTTACATTGTACTATTTAGGATTGAACATGTCTATAATGAGTGTATATTCACTCTTGATTGATTTAAAGTGTCTTTTGATATTAATCTATTAAAATTGAATTATAGATACCCTCGTACTTTATTTACTTTATAGATAAAGATCATTTTGACGAACCCACCACCCGATATTTAATATGTATTTCAATCTCTGGGTTTGGCTGCTTATCTTAGTAAACTGAGGGAACCTTTTGATAACTTTATTACACGTCAATAGCCTAATTAAAGGTTAAGCTTAATTATAGTCTTAAACCATGTAGCAAAATTAAACTTATTTTTCACTTAGAAAAACTAATACTTCTATTTGAGGTATAAGTTATACTGGTAAAATTAAAATGAGATGGAAGACTAAAATTGAAAGTGTAATACTCGAATTTGAGATTTCGACAGTAATTTGGCATGGAAATATTATTAAGCAAACTTTCACGCAAACAAATGCGCTGGTGACCCAGTCATTCGGACTACAACTTGTTTAGGTGTGTTTGATTTAGGGTTAGTTTAGATGGGATTAAAAAAAGAGACTTTTTATGACTTCTTTTTGTCAGAATGAATTTTTTTAGAAGTTGAACTTAACTTTTAGTCTTTTACGTTTGGATGAACAATATAAAAAGTATTTTTAAATAAAAAAATTATTTGGATGGTAAAATTAATAAATGTTATTTTTATATATAAAATTGCTGGACATGTGAATTCAGTGGTTGGTGTGGAGTTGAGATAAATTTTTTTTTTTTTTTAAAAAGCACTTTTTTAACTTCTTTTTTTTTAAATTATGCTATTCCTAAAAGTCACAATCCAAACACATAAAATTCTTTGAAAGGATTTTTTTTTCTTGAAAAAAGCCAACTTATCTAAGAAAAACAGCCTATCCGAACACACCCTTAGTAACTTGTTATAAAACATGTTATAGGAGATAATTTTATCTATGTACACATAAAAATGTATAGGACTCATTTAAACCATGTGAAGAAAAGAAAGAAAAAGAAAATATGAATCCCATATTATTTTATATGTATATAAAAAATAAAATTATCTCCTATAACATGAGAAATATTAATCCCTATAACCAAACTAGTAATCAAATTTTTGAAGAAACACGAAATAGTTCAGAATAAGATAATTCAAACATTCATTAAGAGGACAATCAATCTAATTAAAGCGTTTTATTTCCAACAAGTGAAATGATTGCATAGAGTTTTCTCTTATGGCACTGCACTCAAAATGATCGTGCAAGTAAATATATTGCTAACAAAATATGTTCCTCTTTAATCATTTGGTCATCAGCTCAGCTATCCGAGTTTGATTTTTGACAAGTACAAGAACACGGACACAGTGAAATCTATGAGTCGGGCATTCTAAAGGCCTCTAGAAATGACACATGACAAAGTAGCTGACACAACATAATTCTATTCAGCCCTCAATCAGGTGGAATTCTCCTCCAGCAAGTTCTTTCCTAAAATTTCTGATTGCGAGGAATGTGATTTACTGCAGAAGTTGAAGTCAGCATGAAGAATGTTGGTACAAGAAAATACAGAACTCAATCCTCAGATTCTGTTTCCATAACCGGGAGAATGCTTAAAGCTGAAGCACCTAGATGCATTCCCCTAACAATACCTCCATACCCAACCTTAATCTTATGGCACAAAAGTAAGATGGAATCCCAGAGTGCCGTTCTTCCCTGATATAAATCTCAGAGCTGTTAGCAAACCAATATAATAAAATAACCATTGTACTGGTTGATAAGAGCATCATTGGCAACAAGTATCATGTGCAGTAGCATGCTCACTCGCAAAGTGCATCAATTACGTATTGGAAAAGAACGTATTAAGGTTTAATAATATTAGTAGTATAAAAAAAAAGTTCAATAGTATATGGTATGAGTTCATAACCTGAAGCTATACAAGCATTACCAACCTGAAGAGAAAACTGCAGCTTCTTATCCCAGTACAAGGCAAAAATTGGGGGACCCTGTTTTCCAACTACTAGTACACATGCTCCTGGGTGCAGCACAGAAGGGACAGCAGACACTACAGCAATGTATTTCTCTGGAAACCTTTCCTTTGGGGGAAGGACTCCCAAGAATAAGGGATTTTTGCTAGAATGAGCTCCAGCACAAGACATAGCATCTACATGTAGCATCCACTTTGGATGTTCTAGGAAAGCACAGAACAGATACAAGAGCAAGTGAGAATCAGAAGGTAGCTCAAGGGTCCACTTTTTATTCTTTTTATCATAAACTTCCCCACTTCCAAGATACTCATAATTCTTCAAGCAGGTTCCTTCTGCAAGCTCTATGAAAATTCAGACAAGGTAACTATAAGTAAGATTACATGGGTGTATGTTGGCCATAAAACCAATATCGTATTAATGAAGTCATGCTTCCATTTATTACAGGAAATCTGATGAAGGTTATGACAGATAAAAGCAATACATCCGTAATTCTGTGTACCTCGGATCCTTTGCACAGTGTAATCAGCGCGAACACTGCTTTGAGGTAGCAAACCTTTAACCCACTCTCCTTTAACCAAGGCTTGAAGTCTTTGGTGTTCAGAGATAGCATCCACACAATCCTGCATGATAGGAACCAAAGAAGCCTGCTGCGGGGACTGTTGCATATTAGACACAAGCAACTTGGCTTTATGCAAATATAGACCACCAGGAAATTGTCAGAACTCACAAGCTCTTAGCAAATATACTCAAACTGGGAAAACAGAAAATCGCATTTAATTGACCAATGTGAAGGAACATACATTTGGAAGCCTCTATGGCCTGCGCAAGAGTAGAATGTAACTGATGAAGCAATCCATCTTCATTGAGAGTCAGTGCTGGTTGCCAGTCTTGAGTCTTATCCGTTGCTGGCAAGATAGCCGGGATTCCAGTAGACAGCATGTCATTGCCCACTTGAGTGATTGTGATTGAAATACCAAGTTTAGCAGCTGTTTGCATAACCTATGAATATGAAAATCTTAGCAGCTGTTTTGTGTTTCTAACTTAAACTTTTTCTAGTGAAGTTCACAACTATTGAAAATCATCTATGAACCTCTGTCAGTACTGAACACAATAGAATTTGAACCATAGAACTGCAGCACAAGAATAGGGCAAGTCTGGAACAATGGCAAAATTGTTCCTTTGTGACTGAAAAGTCACAGGTTTGAATCTGGGAAGCAATCTATTTGCAAATATGCATTTAAGGATTTCCCTCACCCCAGTCTTGCTAGTCGGGGTTTAATGAGTGATTTTTTTTTTTTACTAGAGCACAAGCTTCAACATTTTAAAATGAGTAAGAGCTTGTTTGGACACAGCATCAAAATATGAGGTTTTGAATGGTTTTGCTTAGTTTGTGTAGCTCATCTAAAAATTATTTTTGGGCAGCTTCTTAGACTTTGCGAACTGATGTTCCAGCAGAACTAAAACATCCTTTTGAATGTTCAGCCATCGGGAAGTACTACCAGTCATATTAATCAAATAATAATGTAAAATATACTCTTTTTGATTGGTAATTACACACCATAAGTATTTTTTTCATAATTAACCAAATAAGACTCCCCAACTAGCTTGGGATAAAGGTATTGTTGATTATGATGTGCTGTTGATGTTGTCGTAAACCAAATAAGACTGATTCATCTTATAATACTTTTGGGTAAACACATCCAAATATAAAACTCATTTTCTAAAAAGTAACTTGACCCAAATTTATTCTCTCCAAAAGTAATCCTACACCAGTTAACCAAACACACTAATTAGCGGTCCTGAAACCCTCCATAAATATTTTACGTCAAGCATTCCCTTCCACAGTCTATTTTTCTTAGTTTGTTTAACATTCTCTTTCTTTTTGCCAGGGAAAGAGGATGGGGGAGGTGTCTGGAAGAAACTGAGGAAATACTATGCCAATGACATTGCTTCAAACATAAAGAAGAAATGGTGAAGATTAAAATGAACCTGAATGTGACTTGTCTCGATCTTGTTAAGCAAAGGATTCAGCAAAACTGAAGAAAACCATTGCCTGAGTTGGTCACGCCACAGCTCAATTTGAGGATAGATGCGCAGATGCTCAAAAGCTTCAACAGATTCTTCCATTGACATTGGTGGAGGAAGGTCACCCTCTCCCTTCTTAGGGGGAGTATTAAACTTTTGGGAGCCGGGAGACATCCTCACAGGCCTCAATGGTGTCAGCCTTGTAGTTCCAGAGGTATTAGCCGAGCCTGTAACCGTATTGGGGCTCGCTATGCCAAAACCAGGAACAGTAGGGGGTGGGGTGGACAACTTCCCTGCTGATTCAGTGATTCTTTCATCCACTTCAGCTAAGAACTGTTCCAGCTTTTCCTCTGATGTTATCTTCTTCCCAGAGGAGGCTCGCCTATTAGACCAAGGGCTAGAGACAACCAAATCCATTCCGCTTGAACTCTGAGGGGGCGAAACTACTCCAGGGGAAAGATATAAAGATGATGATCCCGGCGACCTCGAGGGGGTGCTAATTGAACGCGCCGCAGCACCCCTATTAGAATTTGAACCATCAGCATCAATGCGAGAAGAGCATCGACTCGGGCTATGAATTGGCTGATGAAGGGGAACAAGCAAATCCGAAGACACCAACTGGGATTTAGACTTAGGGGGCTTTTTCAATGAGTCAGACTTAACCAAATCAACCTTTGGCTTAACTCCTAAAAGCTCTAGTTGATGTTTAGTAAGAGACATCTCATTTTTATTCACATTGTTGGAATTAGGCACAGGCATAGCTGCAACACTACCACCACCACCACCACCATATCTAGTTTTACGAAGATAAATAACTTTGAAGAGAGCCGACAAAGTTCCAATGAAGATAACACCCACTAAAGTTTGTAATGTCTTGGCAACCCAATCTGAATTTCAATAAATTGATGAGAAATTAAAATTACCCATTTCCAAATAAATTAAAAAAATTATAATTTTGAGGTTGAGAACTTACAAGCAGTAACATGGGAAAGACTTTGGAGCCTCAAGATGTCAATGAACCCATTTTCCCTACGATGGTGTAAAGTTTAGGTTAGAAATAATAGATAGAATAATGAGTAGTGTTGGCATTGCTAATAAGTTAGTAGCATAACATAAAGAGTGTGTACCTGAAGACGATTGTGAGAAAGGCGAATGCGGAGGCAGAGAAGAAAGAGAGGACGGAGAAGAGAGTGTAATTGGAAGGTTGAAGACTTTTGGAGGTGAGAACAGCGGATAAAGAAGGGTTTTGATACACTCTGAACTTCGAATTCGATGATGAAGGGGAAGAAGAAGCCATACCTCTCTGCCTTCAACCCCTCGCTAGGGTTTTGATCTGAGGTTTAAAGCTTCAAATCATATAAACCCTGTTTCTAGTTTTATTATTATTATTATTATTATTGTCCTGGTTAACATTTATTTAAAAATTTTAGTTTTGGGAATTACAAAGGTTAAGCTCCGGGAAGGTTATAGTTACTCTTATTTTTAGTAATCATTAGTACAACATGTTGGACATTGACCATATTACTCCTTTAATAAAAATTTATTTGATTGTCACTTCCGAAATTTTTTTTGCCAAAATGCCACGCCTGAATCCCGCTGGTCTGACAAGCGGGAATGGACTGGACCGTGTCAGCGTCTGAATGGTCAACCATTCTCGCTGGGCTGCCCAGCTAAAATGACAGAATGCTGACACGTGGCAAAAGCACAGGCATTCTATGGATGACTGTACTTTTGCCACGTGTCAGCATTATGTCATTTTAGCTGGGCAGCCCAGCGAGAATGGTTGACCATTCACACGCTAACACGTGTCCAGTCCATTCTCGCTTGTCAGACCAGCGGGATTCAGGCGTGGCATTTTGACAAATTTTTTTTCAGAAGTGACAATCAGGTAAAATTTTGCTAAAAGTGGCAATATGGTCATTGTCCCCAACATGTTTGTCAACTTGAAATCAATGACACTTATTGCTCTTTTTTAACTGATTTTAAATTTTTAATGATAATCAAAATGATAATAAATATTGGGGATATTATTCTTATTTTACACAAGAGTATTTTTGTTCGTGCTATAGAGAGAATTCACGTAAGACTCATCATTAAAGAATTAAAAAAAGAGTAAACACCCTTGTTGGTCCTGACAATATCTACGAAATTCTTTTTAGTCCCTGGCAATAAAAAAAGACCAAATTGGTCCCTAAAATTATGAAAAAGGGCCATGTTAGTCCTTATGTCAACTCCTCCGTCACTAACGTGGCCCTTTTTACATACTATTAGGGACTAATTTGGTCCTTTTTTATTGTCAGGGACTAAAAAGGATTTCGTAGATATTGCCAGGGACCAAAAAATGTGTTTACTCTTAAAAAAAAAGAGTGGATAAGATTTTCGAAATGAAATAACATGAAATACTCATGTAAAATAAGAGTAATAATTTACATAAATATAATCGCTCCTTAAATATTTATATGTTTGCAAACATTCCCCAAAACCTTAGCGCTCAACTAGTTTTAGTGAGTTTGTATTAAATTTATTTTAGTTTTGAATCATTTTAGTTGGGGGGAAGGATATTGTGACAATCAAGTGACTACCAATCAATCTCACCGTTAGATCGATTATGTGGATCTAACGGTTATATTTATTTCCATCTTTGTATGGTCATGATTCTCCATATTTAAAGTGAAAGAATAAATATGAGAAATCATAACCATACAAAGGTGAAAATAAATATAAAGTATTAAATTTGGAGAATCCTGACCATACAAAGATAGATATAAATATAACCGTTGGATCAATATAATCGATTTAACGGTAAGATTGATTGGTAATCACTTGATAGTAACACAACTTGATTGTAACAATATCCTTCCCTTTTAGTTGGTTTTAAGAAATTTAACATAATTTGAACTGTTGCATCATCTTTCTTTATTTCTCTTGTTATTTCATTCAAAATACATTTTTGGAAGGAGATTTACGAGTACATTTTTTCATGGATTATTTTAGTACGGTGAAGACAACAAGAGAAATAAATATTCAAGTTGATTTAATTTTAAATTTGTATTGACACAAAAATAATAAGAGAACATTTATTTTGTGGTGCATCAATATACAAATACAAAATCGACTCACCTTATTTTTTTTATAAGTTATTCGTATCATAATATATCAACACAATATTGATAAAAATAATGGAAAAAATATTTCTACAGTTAATACAGATAAGTTATCTGCATTTATTTTCTATTAGAATCTTAAAAAATTATAAATATAAAGACTTTTATAATCCTGAAAATAAATTAAAATTACAAAAACACCATGATTTCTGTCAAAAATGACATCATATTAAACTTACTGCAGATAATTTATCTGCAATAACCGCAGAAAAAACGAATCCAAAAACAATATTCAATATACATGTTAGCTAGTGTCTCGTCATTTTGTGTCAGTTCACATAATAATCAAAACACTTTATGTTAACATGTTTTTCATATCCTGTTAACTCATATAATAAATAATATATTTTGAGGTTAACAAATTGTTAACAAATTATTTATATTGAGTCCACTGCAAAATAAATCAATCGTATTCATGTTAAAAGTTTTAACCCATTTTAAATATAGATTTAATATCTTTTATTTTATAGGAGATAAAATTATTTTCTCCACACGGCTCATAATTTTTTGTTTCTCTTCTGTTCACATGACCTCTCATAGATCACACACATTTTTATATAAGTATAAATAATTTTATCTCTTGTAACATAAAAAATATCATATTCTTTTAAATATATGTCGTGTTCATATTGTACGGTGTTGTGTGAATCCGAATTGTTGTGACCCATGATACAAGTACAAACACAAATATAGACAATGGATTTTTTTTTTTATTTTGAGTTATGATGACTATTGAGCAATTTCCTCACGGATAGCTGCATATATGAGGACATTTATACGAAGGAGCCATGTAAGATCATTAATCATTATATTAATGGTTAACACAAAGTTGAAGGAAAAATTTAAAAACAAAAATAAAATTAGAGGAAAAAAACAGTTTTTTAAAAGATTTTATAAATATAATATTGTGTGACTCAAGAAAACATGTGGATCCCAACTTATCGATAGATGGGTGACATCGATACGAGATACGACACAACACTCTGACACGTTAATTTTAAAAAATATTAAATTTTGACACATTTGATATATAATATTATTAATTTATATAGTATATATTATATTTAATATTCAATAATTTAATAAAAAATAAAGTTAAATTTATAATATCCATAAATTTTGCAAAGAAACATAATATATTATATTAAACTCAATAAAAATAATAATTGTAATCTAACGAATCGAATAGTTGAAACTCAAAATGAATCACAACGAATATTTAAACTTTTTTTAAATTTTTTTTGCCACGAGTATTGAATTGTCAGGAACTTTCAGAGGATGAGAAATAACACCTCAATTGTCGTGATTCATAGTATATGTGTAGACAAGTTTTTTGGTTCACGGAACATTATATTGATAATATTTTTTTTAAATCTCCTTTCGAAGGAGAAGATACAAAGAGAAAACTCTTGGAAACGTTTCGTAGTAAGAATAACTATCCTGCTGTCTCATTCTGAAGATGATCCAGCGCGACCAAGGTTGGCGAGCTCCATGCCTTATCTGAACTGTCCAATACATTATTACTTTATAATTCATAATTTATTCATATTTATATATATATATATATATATATATATATATATATTTGTCCTTTTTTTTTTTTTTTTTTTTTTCGTTTCTTTGGCTTTGCAGAAAGAAAGAAAATTATATATAATAAGGCCATATAGGAAGAAGAAAGTGGGAGCAACTAAGTAAGAAAGCAATAATCTATCGATTGTTATTGCTGCTACGATGCATAGGATCAACACAGCAAGGTCCATTTTTTCTACGGTTTTCAGAAAGAAATCTTTCTCTGTGTCTCAGTCTCAGAGTGCTGCTTTCTCCACCTCCTTCCTCTTCGACGAAACTCAGATACAGGTTCCCCTCAACACCACCCTTATGCTTTTTCCTACATGGGTTTAGCTCTCACTGATTCAGTGTTGTACCATGATTGTTCTCTTGCGAACTGGGTCAAAACAAGTTTGACCCCTTTTTTTTTTTAGAAAAATAAATTGAACTCCCCATTTGGGTTCTCATTAAATTACTATTAATACTCGAACTTGAACTTGGTTTGCCTTTATCTGTAGATGAAACTTGAAAGCACAGATGTATACGAAAGCATGAATTTTTAAAAATAAAATAAAATTGGGAGTTGAAATAATGGTAGTCTTGATGGAAATTATTATATGATCAATAAAATGAGTAATATAAACAATTTTTGAGTAGAGGAAAGATTGCTTTAGGTGCTGAATTTGAGGGCCCCACTCTTTTTAGGCTGGACAGTAATTCTTTTTCTCCTTAGTCATTTCAACTCATGTCAAAAGTTGTAGAAAAGGAAAAACCAATGAATTTTAGTATGATGTTTTGCCTTGTCGTGTGTTATATGGCTAGCTTGAGATTTTTGTTTGGCTGAAAAATATCTATTATGTTTTAAATGTCAGGTGGGTTGAAAATAGTGAGATTCTCCTTTCTTCTTTGTTGAGATATATAAAAACCATTAATATAGCCTCACCCAACAGCTTAAGCTTTTGGGTTGAATTTGGTTCTTTACATGATATCAGAGCCTCGGTGTACCGGGTTCAATCCTCACCGCCCCCACTTTCTTTCTTGTGGAATTTCTTTCTTTAGGTAGGTGGGCTTGTGCATTGTCCACCCTTCAAGCCCAGTAGGCTCTCGTGTGAGGAGGCATGTTGAGATATATAAAAACTATTAATGTAGCCTCATCCAACAGCTTAAGCTTTTGGGCTTTTGGGTTGAATTGGTTCTTTACATTCTTCAAAAGATTCATCGGCATCATAATGTTCATTTTCTAATAACTGCTACTTAAGTGTTTGGTTTCACAATTTTCTAGTGAGTTGAATTTCGTGAGTTCTTTTTCAGCTTTAAAAAAAAAATGTCATCTGTGTCTAAGCATTTTTTCTGCTAGTTAAACTTCATTTTATGTTTCATTTTTAAGATGATTTTGTGTAATAGCTTCTTAAAAGGTGAACTATGTCATCCCTTGATACAGTTTAAAGAAAGTGTTGCTCAGTTTGCAACGGACAACATTGCCCCTCATGCTTCAAAAATAGATCACTCAAATTATTTACCACAGGTCTGTACGAGGATCCATTTTTATCGCGTCCATGAGCTTAACTCATGTGTATTGCACAGTCTGATTATGTTTTGATCTAATTTTAGGAGGTTAACTTGTGGAAAAGCATGGGAGAATTTAATCTCCATGGGATTACTGCACCAGGTAGTCTTTTTATTTATTTATTTCTTTGTTTTTAACTATGCTGCTTGAATTTTCTTATATGTCAAAGATTGTTTTTAAAGATTTCTAAGCTGTTGGTGTTATCTGCTGGTGTGATTTCAATTTGGCATTTTTTCTTTTCACCTGTATATTGTGTGATGATAATATATGCTAATAAAGCAATTCATTCTGATGCGCATGACTTTCAATCACCGAGAAAAAAGGTCTCTAATACCCCCCTCCCCGAAGAAAGGGTAGATACTATTTTATTTCACAGGCTGTGAGTAGAAACTGTTCATTTATTCACAAATCATTTTCCTTCTGTATTATTCAACAAATGAGTCAGGTGGACTAGACCCTCATTTACAATGAAATTGTTCTTCCTTGGGTGTTTTGAATTTCAGATTAGTATACTTGGCATCTTTGCAATATGACCGTGTCTTTTATGCTAATAAACTTTTCCAATTCTATTTGCTTATTTGCAGAGGACTACGGAGGGCTTGGTCTTGGTTACTTGTATCACTGTATAGCAATGGAAGAGATTAGCCGTGCTTCAGCATCTGTTGGTCTTTCTTATGGTGCTCATTCTAACCTGTGTATCAATCAGCTGGTAATTGAAGGGAACTTAAGTTTCTTTTATTGTATGCTTGATGATGTTCTGATTAGTCTTCAGGATTGCCACCTTCTGTTTTGTTTAGGTGAGGAATGGAAACCCTGCTCAGAAACAGAAATACTTGCCAAAGGTTCTTGTTCTGCCTTGTTTAATCTTATTTATTTTCAGTTATATATTTTCTGCCTTGCCGTATTGCCGATGATGTGTAAGGATTGACTTTATCAACCAAAAATGCTCATAGTTAGTCTTAGCTTTCCACCCATTTCTTATGCTCATTAGTCATCTTTCTCAATTTTTCCGTGTATCTGTCTATCTACCTATTCATGGGCTAAGTTGTTTTTTCGTCTTCATTTTTGAAGCTTATCTCTGGGGATCATGTGGGAGCTTTGGCAATGAGTGAGCCCAATTGTAAGATATGTGAAATTGAACAGTAGTACCTTACATTTTTAGATATTCCAAGGACTTTTTAAAGTGAATTTTCCTTTTCTGCAGCTGGTTCTGATGTTGTCAGCATGAAATGCAAGGCTGATCGTGTAGATGGGGGATATGTACTTAATGGGAATAAGATGTGGTGTACTAATGGGCCAGTTGCTCAAACATTAGTATGTTTCTTTGAATTTCATTGCATTTTCCCATTCTCTTTGCATTGACTGTGTTCTTGTTTAATTTGCCTTTAAAAAATTAAGGGGGCAATTTTTCCTCGATTTGTAATTTCAACGGACTATCTTTCCATGTAACATCATAGCATTATCATGACCTGTGGACCTGATTGCTGAATAATGAAGATAAAGGTGAATGTCATAAGGCTTTATTACACCATCCATGGGTAAAAATGGGGGAAAAAAAATGAAAAAAATAAATAAAAATGCTAAGCATATTTATCATAGTGATGGGTCCCAATTAAACCATCTGTTTAGATATTTGATGTGCATCACATATTTCATTGCGCTTCACTGTTATTTGATATGCAGCAGAACTTAGAGGACCAGTCTTTTGTTCTTGACTAATTTCTTTACCTATGGCTTATAGGGGAAACTGGATGCATATTTATTGTAAAACTAGATCTAATAGTCTAGACATATGCTGAGAATGCATGGCAATTATTTGATTGTGTTGAATTGAATCAGGTTGTCTATGCAAAAACAGACATAACAGCTGGGTCAAAAGGAATCACAGCATTCATCATTGAGAAGGGAATGCCTGGGTAATTGCGCTGAACCTTGACAACAAGTTATATGATATTGAGTGGACAGAACTCTGTATTTCAACTTAGTTAATTCTTTGGCAATAATGTGATCACATGCTATGACCAATCCAACTATAGGCTATTAATCTTTACAAGTGGTGATTCATGCTCCTGGATATCTAAACCAACTTTCTCTCATGTATCATTCAACTCTAGACTCATGTAGTGGGGCTTACTTTGTGCTATAGCAGGCAAAATAATTTTGGCACAAAACAAAAGGCTGGTTACTTGAACCTTTTAGAGTCAAATTATTCAAATTTTATTCCTGAGTCTATAGCGGGCAAAAATCCTTCTCTTAAAATGTAAGAGAAAAAAAGAGTAATTATCACTCATAAATAACATGCATGTACTGTAAGCAAGAAAAAATATTTCTTCTCACACTTGAAAGGAGCAGGCCTCGCTGTAATTATAAATCATTTGATTAGAGTAAGAAAATTAGAAATTAAAGATGAAAATCTGACGTTTATTTCTGTTTGACTACAGATTCAGTACTGCCCAGAAATTGGACAAACTTGGGATGCGAGGAAGCGATACGTATGTATGCATGTTGATGTTCCATTCTGTATCTAATTCATTTCCGATCACTTTACCTTGCTTTTACTGATAATATGGAATTATGTGGGCAGATGTGAGCTTGTCTTTGAGAATTGCTTTGTTCCAGAAGAAAATGTTCTTGGGAAAGAAGGGAAAGGTCTTGCAATTGCTTTTGTAGTATTCTTTATTATTTTAAAACGAAATCATCTCTATATTAGTTGGTAGGGCTCGTTTTGATAGACTTACAGAAAATGAGCTTATTTTTTAAGTTCTGTTTTTAAAGGATTTTATCTTCTTTTTTCTTTTTTTAAGAAAAAATTATTTTTGCATTTGGATAAAATCTTTAAGCACTTATATTAAAAACCACTTATCCTTCCGCTTATTTCAGAAGTAGGATCATCTGCTTCTATAATAAGGAGTAACTCCACTTGCCTTTTTTTTTTTTCCTTCGAAGTTTGCATCCGAACTCACTAAAAAACACTTGTAAGTACTTATTTTTAAAAAAACAAGTTCATAGTCCAGCCTGCAAAAGTTTGTTGCAAGACTGTGACTGTTCTTACGTAATATGCCCGCATTGATCTATCACATCAGCCTCTCTCTCTCTCTCTCTCTCTTATTAGAATGTAAAAACATTTAAAGAAATCAAGAAAAGAGCATACTTCTTAAGTTCTTATCTTTGTTACTTCTGAACCAGAATTTGGTTTCTAATGGCAGCATTTTCCAAGCACACTTGACACATAAATTTGTGTAAATTAGAAGCTCTCTCCAATGAAAGAGGGACATTAACTTTTCTGTCATTTTTTACAGTGTAACCACTGATAAAAAATCACTTTTGTTATTCATTATATGTCAAGTGTCAACCATAGCTTGGTAATACCTTTTTTTTTTTCTTTTTCTGTTCAGGAGTCTATGTCATGATGTCCGGACTGGATCTTGAGAGACTTGTTTTGGCAGCTGGTCCACTGGGTATCATGCAGGCATGTCTTGATGTTGTCCTTCCTTATGTTCGACAAAGAGAGCAGTTTGGCCGACCTATTGGGGAGTTTCAGTTTATACAGGTTCAAATTATGGACAACTTAACTCTTTTTATGCAATTGTCGTGCATGTATATTGTATGTGACTCTAAGCCATCAAGCTGTCAATTGATCTTTGGTTCCAGGGGAAAGTTGCTGACATATATACTTCTTTACAGTCATCAAGGTAGATGATTATAATGTCATGATGCTCTTTTCTCTTTCTAAACAAGTTTGAATGACAGTAGATAACATTCTTCATTTCAGGTCTTATGTGTATTCTGTAGCTCGGGACTGTGACAATGGAAAAATTGACCCAAAGGTGCGTCCATGTATATTTATCTTGTGGTTAATAGAGTATTATTAGTTTTTTTTTTCTTGAAAATGAAAGCTTCATCATTGGGTTCTTTAAATGGATAGTTGACTATTTTCTATATATATCGCGTATTTTACAGGTATTGCATGGAAGGATTAACCTTTATTCTTTTGTTTTTGTGTTTTTCATTTTTTTTATCGTTTATTTTGTTTTGGGTTCATTTTTGCATGGTGTATGAGTGCAGTATGCAGTGGCATCTGTGAATTATAATATTATGATGCTGACATGATATGTTAATAATTGTACAAATCATCAGTCTTGAAATTGTTGGGTATGGCTCATACTTCGCATGTTGATGATGGCCTTAGTTGTCTGGGTCAGCAGAAAGGCAACTGGGGTCCCGCTCCCAGGTGAGCGGGCGGGGGTCCTGCCCCCAGGCCCGTAGATGCTAGGTACTGTTGTGGGCCTCTGTTTTATTGTAATTTTCTTAGCAGTTTGGGTTTGGGCCCATGAATAGCTGTTGTTAGGATTTTCTAATCCTATTTATATTTGTCTTGTAAACCGAGTGATTTGTAACGAGTGGCGGTGAGGTGAATATAGTACAGACAAGCTGGACGTAGCCTAAATTGGATGAGCCAGGGTAAATCGCTGTGTCTATTCTCTCTCTTTTCTTTTTCGTTTTCGATTTGTGTGTGGTCGATTTCCAACAGAAATGTATGCATATGTTCCTGTTTCTGCAATTGTTTTTAAACTCAAGCATAAACTTACGCTAAGATATTTGGTTCATCATAATTCTACTGGCCCCAATTTCAGCCAGGTCCTCAATGCTATAAAGTTCTACTATTTTTTCTGTTTTTAACCACGGTTGTTTGGCTATTCAGTGTAAAAATCTTGGCTACTGATTTCAGGATTGTGCTGGAGCTATACTTTGTGCAGCTGAAAGAGCAACTCAGGTTGCTTTGCAGGTAAAATAAGTTGCTTGCATTGTTTATAGTTGCTGCTTCTGTTCTTGTTTTCACATTTTACAGTGCTTATATTATATCTACCAAATTTGCAGGCTATACAATGCTTAGGTGGGAATGGCTATGTAAATGAGTATCCAACTGGTCGTCTCTTAAGAGATGCCAAACTCTACGAGATAGGGGCGGGAACTAGTGAGATCAGAAGAATGATCATTGGGCGTGAGCTCTTCAAGGAGCAATGATATGCTAGTCACCTTGGATTTTGCCTGTTGCTGAGCCCCTTGGAGATTCCTTTGCAGAATAATGTTTGTAAAAGTATTGTTTATTTATCAAACTAAAATTATGGTCATCAGAATTGATCATGAATGCAAGGAATAAAAGCTTCCATATTATATTTCTATGTACTTTTGCTGTGATAATCTTTCAAAGCAATCCATTCATCTCGGAAAACAATGTGGATTTTTTTTTTTTCAGGTCTAACATTCAATAATTTGGTGCCTAAAGTAATGTGTGATAGATGCCTCCAGCACAAATACCTTTTTTTTTTTATAAAAAAAATAAAAAAAGAAATAAAGAAACCTTTTTGAGTAACTAATTAACTATAATAGAAAAATAGTTATTTTCTAGTGGTTATTTCATTAGAAAACCTTTTTTTTGGGTGAATTTCGTCATAAAACTTTTAGAGGGATGATATTCTTATTATCAAAATTTTCTATTATTAACTTACTACCTATCTAATCACCATTGAATCAAAGAGAGAGACTGCTAAAAGGTTTTTGAAAAAAGAGAAAATGTTGATCCAATGGTAATTAGATAGGTAGTGAGTTAATAGTAGAAAATTTTGGTAGTAAGAATATCCTTCCTCCAACTTTTAATGTTTATGTTACCACTAACTTTTTAGTAAATCAACTACAAATAACATGATAATCATGACTGTTTTATAAAATATTTGATCGTTAAAAGGGGTACTTTTTAAAAGGGAACAAAGTAAAAAAGCTCTAGACCAAAAAAGGCTTATGGGCATACATTATGGATCACACACTAAGCTGAAATACTGGGATATTGAATATCGGAAAGGATTAATTTACATGTCTTATACTTATTATTATCATTAATCTCACTTACACTTAACTGTCCTAATTCATTAGTTGCATGTGACTTGTTAAGTGTAAGTTCATCTTCCCCCTCGAATAACGACTATTCACGCAATTTTTGTGAAAATAATTACTTACTAAATGATACAAAACAGTGCATTTGTTTAAGCTTTTACTAAACAATATTTTGCATGTTCTTCTTCTACGCCCACATTTCCGAAAATGTTCACCGCATCACACTCCATTTCCAAACACATTCATAACAGTAGTAATAATATTACACACAACCATAGCAGGAAATTTTGAAACCATCACTATCACCATTATTCCAGTGTATGTAATTCTTAAGCGGTAATGGCTTGTTACATAATGCAAAGACTAGCCCTTATTTATCTAGTTTAGTGCAATTAATTGTCAGTCTTTTCTTGCACTGACCATGCAAAGCTGGGCTTAGGAGCACAAAGGGTAGTAATCAAACATGGCATCAAAACATATGCAGATAACTAAATTTAAACAGAGACAGGGCCAACATAATACTTAAGACAACCCTGAAACTTAGACTCTAACTACAGTTGGAGAACAATCTGGCTGGCCCACTGAGGAAGACTTTGAAGCCTCCATAACCACTGGTGTCTGTTCCAAACAGCTATAAGTATCATCACTGATCATCCCAATTGTCATCTTCTCCACTTCTTCTTGGGTATATATATGGATCTTGGACACCACGTTGCAAAACTCACTGCACTCAAAAACCATGCTTTCTTTTGTTAGCATCACCAAGAAAGATACAGCACATTTGAGGCACTAGACAGCTTACAAAGAATATGATACAAGAGATATCAAAATAAACAGCCATTGATAACTAACTAACTAATTAACTAAAAGGTGGAAAAGCAGCATTCTTTATTGAGTGTTGAGTCCAGAAAGAAGAATACTCACTGCCATGGATCATCCCCCACAACCATTATGTCATTCTCGCTGTCCGTGTACAAGATCCTCCATCCCTGCTTAGAATCACTTAGAAGGCCTTCCATGCCAAATAGTCTCTCTAGTTCATTCAGAAGGTCATTGTAGCCACTCAATCTTGAGAGATCAATGGCTCTTCCAACTAAGCTACCTTGCTTGTGAACCTTCATTCATTGTATGTTACATGGGTGGGTAAAAACATCAAAGAGAAAAAGGCATATCATAATATAATTTTGTTGTTATTATCCCTAACCTTTGTGCAACTCCTTTTAGCAGGGTTCTGTATATTTTGGATGGTAGTTTCCCCAAACAAAGGAAACCCGAATAGTTTGCATGCATTTACCTTTCCCTTGACATTGTTGTCATCTGAAATCCTCATATTTGCAGCCCCTAATGAAGCAGAAGCAGAAACACTGTCCTGCTGCTTATGCTCATTTGGGAGATTTGATCCACCAACTTCATTTCTAATGATCCTTGTCTGAGTGGATGGCGTGTTAAATGGGACATTCTCTCTCTGGAAACTGGTGGGTTTGGAGCAAAACATGCTAGCTTGACCGGCTTTGTGAATATCCCCATAAGGAAAATATGCAGATTGAAAGTTGGGTTTGGTTTCCTGATGGAGGTTGAAAGTTGTGCAACTTACATTGGGTTTTCCCCAAACAGCAAGGTTCAAATCAACCTTTCCTGTCAGGGATTTCAATGGACATATTTCTTGACCTTGCAAGACCCTTGGGAACGTATTAGTTTCCATAAAGCCTGCATAACTGAAAGGGTGAACACTCATATGCTCAGCAGAGTTAACCTTTCTTACTCCAGTTGATGCAAGATTTGGATGACTTTGAGAGCTCATCTCAAAACCTGGCCGGTTGGTTACTGTGTCGCATCCATAGTAGAGTGACACAAAACCTGCATTTTCTTGACCTTGCAAGACCTTGTGTGATCTTACAGACTCCTCAAAGTCCACCAATCCACTGCCTCCTGCTGCAACCCCATCCACCCAAAAACCACAAAAAGAAACAAAGAAGAGGATGCTTATGATGCACAAGTTAACAAGCACTACGGATTTATGCTACTTCAGTCATCTCAGCATTAGGACTCATACCAGTGATGAGGTGACTAGGTGAGGCAACCTGCAGACCTGTCCGCAGTTTCTTCAGTCTTGGGGAAGACTGAATGCTCAAGGAAGGAAGAGAAGCAGAAGGATCTATCTCCCATGGAGATACTCGATCTTGATGATTAGTCTCAGTATCCTCATCCCATCTGACCTGTTGGATGTTACAGCAAGCTTACATTAATTATGCCATCACCATATGGTCATTAACTAAGTTCAAAAACCCTAGCTTTGTAGGGGGGTTACTATCGCAACCTTCAAATTAAAGATCTTCTCTGGATAAGACGATATGTAAAACAGTTTAGAATGAAACATGAAGAATGTGCAAGCAAATATTACAAAGAAAAGTTGGGGAAATGGGGTTAGATTTCTATGTGAGGTTCACAAATAAATTGGCTTCACAATAATTCAGTTTGATGTTAAGAAGACTCCTGCAAATTCAATATCTGTCTTTAATAATTCTTTATCCTCATATATTTCTCAAGAACTGCAAAATACAATATGAAGAGATAAAAAAAAAAATATAAACTTAGATTTAAGTGCCTCATTAATAAAATCTGGCTGATAGAGCATATGCTTCAATGACAAAGTTGGTAAACATATAAAAAAGTAGGTCCAATGCTAAATGTATAATAAAACGGTCAAAATATACTTCATAGAAATAAAGCAAAATTGCAAATGTACCATCAAGCACCTCCATTTTGATTTAGGCCATCTATAGGGATCCAAATCACTCATTCCAGTCACCATACCACCACTACACCTGCCAGATAGGAAGATGACATTATGTCACTCGTAAATATCTTTTATAAAGGAAGACATAGGGGTAAAGATTTATAACTGTGTTCTAGTTTACCTTCTTTCTGGAGATTCATCCATTTCAAATCTCATTTTGAATCTTGTCCCAATGGTCACTGGATTCTTGATGCTTTTGACATATTTTTGGTAGGGAACAACAAAATCTGCATGACTTGCTCTGCATTATAGCAACTTCAAACACATTACAAATTTATTGCTAGAGTCACATACCAATCATGAGTTAGCAGCCCTAGAGGGAAGATCTGCATTATAGCAACTTCAAACACATTACAAATTTATTGCTAGAGTCACATACCAATCATGAGTTAGCAGCCCTAGAGGGAAGAAGTCACATCCACAGGAAATTAAAGATTATCATAAACTGTTTTATTTCTTAGAAGATCCATCAGAGGAACAATCACAATTTGTTTATTTTTTTATAAGCTCTGCGTAGAAGATGGAACCCATTTCCCACCACCTTTGTATCAGAGATATGAGAAAGGAATTTTGTAGAATAAATAGGCTATAGTTATAGTATAGTCAGGTAGTCCCTGGGCCAATAGGAAGCCATCTCCTATACAATACAGTAAAAGCTAGTAAGTAAGCTGTGAAGGTATTATGATCTGAGTTTCTAGAAAGGACATGAACCATTTCTGTCCAAATCAAAGTGTTCACTACTTTTCCATCCACACACCATTGGAGTTTCTCAATTCCATTCCTATTAACAGTCATGGGCATAGTGCTGCCACGCACATTTTGCAGACACATCTGCTTAGTTTTCACCATCTAATTATAGCTGATCCACATCATTTTCTTCAAGATCTAAGCTAAGTTCGTGGCTAAGAGTTGCAACAAATTAAAGATAAGCTATTAGAGGTTGTAAAAATAAAAGGGTGTCAGGATGTTTGTTGATCTTATTTATGCATGTCACCTTACAGTCATCACAAAATACATGTAATTGATTGAAATAATAGGAAACCAATATTTTATTTCATTTATATTGGCACAACAAAATCAATATCTAAAGATAAATAATGCATAATGCAGAGTGAGCTTCATACATTTTGCAAAGCAAGAAGACGTGAACAGTTAGTATTAGTACCTTGGACTGTAGAAAACATGAAACATGCTTTTGGTGGATATAGCATTTGCCACAGAAGAAAGGAAACTGGGATAACAGTTCTGGGGACCAACAATTGATTCAGGAAGACCATTTCTAGGTCGAACAGCTCTTCTGATTCCCAATCTCAGTTCTCCATTTTCACCCCTACAAAGACATTAACAAGCAGTAAGGATATGAAAGGTACTACAATGATAGATAGAATCTTCTTTCTTGGAGACTTGGTACTTGGAATCTCAGATTTAATTCAACTGGCATTCAAATATTATTATTACTCATTTTTCATGCTTTCAAAGTTAGACAAGACATAAATTCCTAATACTAATACACAAGAGGCCATGGGTTTTGAGGTATGCTCAGTGTTTTCTGCTCAAAACCGTGACATTTCAATCACAGAGCAATATTACCGCTGCTTCAAGGCTTGCCCTCTCATTTACAAACACACACGAAAATATATAAGATACCTTAAAATACCTAAGAATTTCTCATACACAAACTCACACGAAAATATATATATGGATAGATACCTTAGAAAGAGCAATATAAGATACCTTAAAATACCTAAGAATTTCTCATACACAAACTCACACGAAAATATATATATGGATAGATACCTTAGAAAGAGCACAGCATCACCAGAAACAAGATTCTTTTGGCTTACAAAAATACTCCAGCCAGTAGTGAGTAGATGCCGCCTAGGCTGACCTGACAAATCACCACATCGATTTTGTGAACCAATTAGCCAATATAAGAAGCCACACCTTGTTTTTCTAATTACATTACCTCTATAAATATGACGAAATTTCCACTCCACACCATGCAGGTCTTGGGCAATAAGCTCTTGAGAGGGTCTCTGCTGCTTATAATCCTGTAGCAAAAGTAAAAGGAGTAGTTCACCAACTTAAGGGAGACTACAAAATCAAGCTTTATAATTAACATTACAATGTTCCAAAAGACCAGTGAAAGATGTCACACCAAAGGAGGAAAACAGTCTTCAGCAGCTCTACGAGGAACAGAGAACCCCCCATGAGTGCTGGTATCAGAAGCAGTTAGTGTTTTGCAGAACATGTGAGGGGTTGATTTTGTAGGTAATCCTCCATTTCCCTCTTCATCTGCTCCCAATTCCTCAAGTTCTTTTTCCTCAGAATGCATCTCTGCCAACTGAAAAAAACAATCCAGTATGTTCAATTTGTGCATCACTTAACAATTTAAGCTAGTTCCCACATCTAGACAAATATTCTGAGTTCTAATTAAGGATGAAAGAAGCTCAAAGTCATAAGAATCTAATTATTTACGCAGAACTGGTCTACTTTCCATGAAGAAGAACCAAATTTCAACCCTTGACAAATTAGACACGAACCAAAACATAAATATCTTCAAATAAAAACCAACCTCAGCCTGGGGAAGCAAAGTAACCTGTGTATAAACCTCATCATTGTCCTTGTTGGCCTGTTCCAGGAAATGACGAATTCAGCAAAACCAAATGAATAATAGAGCCAATACAAGGGTAAATGAATTGTGTAAACACAAGTCAATATTAATCTAAGAGGAGAATTCAGTACTCACAAGTAGCTGAACATTGACAACCCTGCAAAAGATCTGTGGCTGAAGATCATAGGTTGGCATCTCCATTGGTGTGAAAGGAGAGAAAGAAGCAACTTGTTCTAAGTGACCTTGTGGAAAATAGACAACCACATTTCCTTTCTTAGGGAGTGATGTGAGGGGGCCAGCACAAGCATGCCAAAGCTCGAGATAAGAAGAAGATACACGAGCTGAAAAGGAACTAGAAGATGAACAAGTTGAAGAGGACAAACAACAAGCACCTTTCTCACATTCCCTATCACAGATTGCATTCTTCTCAACCTCAGTCACTTCATGGTTCAGATCAATTTCCATGAACACCTAATGTAGTTGGTTCTTATTGTGAGACTCAAATGGAAGTAAGAACAAGCAACCAAAACACCCCAAAACAGAAAAATTCACAACTTTTTTAAAAAAAAAAAGGAAACCCCAGAAAGTGGAAACTATAATATCATGGAAATGAGGTCAAATCATGAAAAAAAGAATTCATCTTTGGAGGGGGGAACCACAAAGTTAAAACTGGGGAAGAGTGGAACTTGATGAACAAGAGAAAAAAAGAACAAGAAAGTCATGTTGAGAAGAATACAATACCAATACCAGACAACAGTGCTTAAAGATGAGAAGAAAAGGATAAGGGGTAGTAGAAAGAGAAAAGGGAGTGTCAAATAATAACAAGAAATTCAAAGTATGATTCCACATCCATTTGCAGGTACTGAGACGAGGGAGCAGAAGTAGCTGACATAGACAAATTGTGTAGGAAGCAGCACAGAAACAAAAGGCAAGAAAAGCCAATGTGGTAGTAGTGGCTTTTGGACTTAACAGGGTTTAAGTCTTAGAGATAGAGTGAGAAAGAGAGAGAGTGTGTGTTGGGTGGAGGGGACAGTCCATGACAGTACAGAACCCACCCTCCCCCCACCTTCACTCTCCTTTGCTTGCCTCATCTTTTATCTTTTTATCTTTTTATCTTTTTTCTTCTTCTTTATTAATGATTTCTATCACTGTTGGCTCTGAGGTGAGTGATTGAGGCTCTCCCCCAAGACAACATAAGTTAAATCAATAAGATAAATATTCAAACAATCACTAACAATGTGAATTTTTTTTTTTTTTTGTTAATTTGTAAATCATATCATGAAAGAATAGAATTTCAAAGATAACACAATCTGACAACTCAACCCACAATATACGTCGGTGAATTTTATGGCATGCATATTGCATAACATAGATGTTTAATGTTGGGTATTTTGCATACTAATAAAAGTTTTTATTGGTAGAGTTAGCAGAGGCAATGAAGGACTTGTATATGAGTAACTGTGTACAATTGCACATATAAATTTTTTGAAAAAAAAAAATAAAATATATTTTGGGTCATCAACAAAAAATATGGGATCCAATATAATCTCTTAAAAAAAATCGACTAGTGATCCTTTTAAGGGACTAATACAGGTCTTCTTGAATTTCAGAAGGACCACGATTTTGAATATCTGAGTCTATTTTTGAATTCTGAGGGATCACGAGTCAATTTTTTTCCTGAAAAAATAAATTGGGACCCGTAATTTTTGTTGAGGACTCAAAATGTCCTATTGTAACAGTTTAGTTGACTTTTGACTACTTTTTTTTTCTAGTTAAGTTAAAGTTTTTTTTTGTTTATATTCTTTTGTATTTTAATATATTTAAAATTTTCTTTAAATTTTTTTTCTTAATTCTTTTATTGTAAGTACGCAGACATAAATAAAATTTTCTAGGTCCGCTATTGAGCAGAGGTTGGTACTATTATATTTGTAATTTTATTTTATTTAGTAGTTTGGATTTGGACCAATGAATAACTATTTTTAGGATTTTCTAAATCCTATTTATATTCCCTTCTAAATCAAGTAACTTGTAACTAGTGACAGTAATATAAATATAGTACAGACAAGATAAGCTGAACATAATTTATATTAGATTGAATCAGAATAAATTACTTTGTTAAATTTAAATTTCTCTTTCCTTTCTCTTTTGTTTTTCGGTTTGTGAGTGTTGATTTCCAACCTTTAAGGTAAAAGGCTTGCGAGTGTATAAAATTTATGCGACTAAATTAATTATGTGAATATAAAATATTATATTTATATATATATATAGGGTTCGCTTTTTCTGCAGTTACTGCAGATAAGTTATTTGCAGTAAGCCCAATACGACGTTGTTTTGGGACGGAAATCATGGTATTTTGTAATTTTAATTTATTTCAGGGTTATAATAGTCTTTATATTTATAATTTTTTAAGATTTCAATACCAAAACGACGTCGTTTTGGGAATAAATGCAGATAACTTATCTGCATTAACTGCAGAAATATTTTTTCCATATATATATATATATATATATATATATATAAGTCAAGATCATTTTACATCAGTGTAAGTTACACTCTCAATCTTGTCCGTTGATCCCACTTATATCTAAAGGTTCTAATTTTTTAGTAATGTGAGCCATTAGATACAAGTAGATCAATAGTCAAGATTGAGTGTAAGACTTTTACAGCATTCTTAATAACAAAACAGTATTTATATAAGATATTCGAGTTCCAAGATATATTTTGGGTTTATATTATTATTTTTTAATTATGAATGAGCTAACAAACTATATGAAGACACATAAGAATAATGTTTTTAGACATTTGATATCTATATTGCAAAAGGAAGAGAGATTGATAAGAAAATAAATCATAGAATTAGAGCATTGTTAGATTAAATGACACAATCATTGAATCCCTAACCCTTTAAAGCTAAAAGAAATTTTTTATAAAATAACAATCATATATATAATATTATACAAAGTTGAATGTTGATTTGCACATAAGCAATATGAATATAAAATGAGAATAATCGGTGGATTAGGAATATCCGGTGGCTAAAAATATGAAAAAACACATATTGAAATGATTTAAATATATTTTTCGAAGAACCATAAACACTCTTAATTATAAATAAGACTTAATGGAGTAAAAAGTATATTAGCATATCTCAGAACTAAATGAATGATAGCTATCAACATTATGCAAGGGTAGATCTATTAGTTCCTATGTTACATACGTCAGTTGGCCCTTCTTAGTCATTTTTTTAATTAATTTTTTCCTATATTTATTTATTTATTTTATTTGTCTTTATATTTATTTATTTATCTATTTTATTTTATTTTTCTCTCAATACTTTCTTATTTTTTATTTGAATTTATCAATTGTCGATCTCAATCAATTTGAAAATAAAGTAATGATGATATTACATAAGTTATTAAATAACCGTAATCCACTTTTTGAATTTAATGTATATTGTTTAATTTTTTTAAGCTTTATTTTTATCTTGAACTCGAGAGAACAAGTTTAACGTATTCTACAAATGTTACAATAAAATGTGCAATAATAAGTTAGTAATGGTATATAGTTGATCTGACATGATTGGGATTGGGAGGCGTATAATATGAATATCCGACAAATGGAGCTTTACCTATAGCGGTTCATTTAATACAACTATAAAAGGAAAGTGAGAAAGTGAGAAAATGAGAAAATGAGAGAGGTTTGGGGTCTGCCCTCAGTGACTAGTACGGTGCAGCGTGGTGGACTTATTTAGAAAATTTTCGGATATATATCATGGTTTATCTATTATTTCATGGGTAAAGTGTGTGTCATTTTAAATGATGTAAAGTTGTGTCATTTTAAGAGAGAGAAAGAGATAGATAAAAGAGGAGAGAGAGTTGACAAAAAATATAAAGGTGTGGGCCCCACCTCTTTGTGAGAGTGAAATGATATAAGTTGTGTCATTTAAAAGGATAAACATTTTTCCCTTATTTCATTAGTCCAGTTCCAACATTATCAAATTTATTATATAGGTAGCTCTTTCAAAATTATTTTTTTTATATCTAAGATTTGAACGGTTGGAACATTATTTTCATCACATTAAATATGTCTATGGAACATACATATTGTTGTAAAATATATAATTTAATGTGTGGATGACTCTTTGGTTGTCCATGTCTTTTGGTTTATTATGTAACTGCAACATTAATAGTGTATTCAATGTATTTATTCTTTTATTATGTTCAAAGTCCTATATAAGGACATGACTCTTGTAAGAATGTGAATGATCGATGAATAATAAGATTCGTCAATCTTACTCTTTCTTCTTTCTCTATTTCCCTCAAATCTTTTCCTATAGTTTTATAACATAATATCATCACAAATGCGCTCTACCTAGTCAAACCAAATTCTACCTGGGACTCTATCAAAATTCAACCTTAGTCTGTTCCCTTCTCAAACCTTGTTGTCGTGCGTTGCACCACTATTTTTCATCAATATCTTGCAGTTGCAGATTTTACCAACTATAAAAGAGCAAATTTTCCAACCACCACTCTTGGATCTAAGAACAACATGGAAGATCAAGAATATAAATTCAGACATTATAGAGGATGATAATGGATTACATTTTTTCTATACCTCAAACAGATTATCTTCAAATTATATATCAATATTTTTATTTTAGTGACAGGCTATAGCATTGAAGTGGGACTCTACGATGCCAGACAAATTTTTGGGGAATTCACTAATTTGAGTAAACACTTGCAAAATGATGTGATTCTGATGCCTTAGATTCGAAGATCAAAATATGCATGACTCACCAGATCGAGAGCCTCGCCAGAGCTTCAGTACCGTCGGTTTCCACGAAGGGAGAGTCCACGGCAACGATGAACACGGTGGTGGTTTGGAAGTTGCCGACGGTGAGTCTGTGTTTCAGGGTGAGGAGGTCGGAACGAACGTGAGCTGTAACACCCCGTGTATACCCGGGTTGTTAACATGTCATCGTATTAAGCCATGCTTAATTAAAAATGCGGAAAATCTTTTTCTTTTCGATTATGACGTCATTATACTTAGCCAGGTTGATTACTTAATCATTTTCATGAAAACATCGTCTGTATGTAAATTGCAAAAGACAACTAACTAAAATACCTCATAAATAAATTAGTGAGTATCTAAGTCACGGATCTACAACACGTAGTTCGGACATAATCCTGATACAATTATACAACTCGAAACAACTAAGACAAAGTCAAACAATGTGGCATGGACAATCCTCATGCTCACCAAATAAGGCAACAAAGCCCAACATAGTCTCAACAGCAGCAACAATAATCATAACAAGCTAAAAACATAAAGCAACAGGCATAATCCAACACTCAGACATATCATCATATAAACAGCAATATCAGCTAAGCTCCGGCCTCCTGCCGCTAGAGGTCTCAGCCCTTGGGTTACCTGAACCTGAAATAAGCGCCCCAAACGTGGGATGAGATCTCTCAACAGAAATCTCAGTAAGGCAAGGGGTCCTCAAGGATCTTTCACCCCAAGCTCACTTACATGTGCAATATAAGTTTAAAATAGTTTAACAGTATAAGTTCCAAAACAGTGCAATGCAGCAAATAATCATGTCATGTGTGTCAATACTAATCTACTGGCCAGAGAAATGCAGGAATACGTCTATTACCCACACTAGTGCAAGACGTCACTTGCACCCACCCACAGTGTCACCGTCTTGTATGACGCCACATACTCAGGCTTACCGTCTAAGTGGAACAACACATACATATTAAAAGCCATTGCACATAAAGCTCAACAACATTTTCAATTATCAAAGCATGTAAACACATCATGCATATAAACAATTCCCCCATGGGGTATGGTGGAACCACACAATGGCTAAACCGAGGACACGAAAGCTTACCTTGCAAGCTAACTATCCTAGCCAAGAGTCCACACAAGCTCAAGGCCCACAAACAGCACAATAACGATCTGTTTAAACATTAATTAATCATCAATAATCATTGCTCAAGATTACATTAAGTGATTAAGGCTTTCCATCTCATTTTAAGTCATTACATGTTGTTTCTGCAGGAGGTATTCGAATAC